GCTAAATCGAAGAAAAAGTATGAAATTAATAGGAAATAATAATATTTATTTAATTATTTTAGCTAAATTAACAATATTTAATTTTATATCAATATTATAAATTATATTTAATGAAAATTAAATTTTAGTTAAATTGATAATATTTAGAAAATGAATAGAGCAACGTCGAAGAAAAAGTATGAAATTAATAGGAAATAATAATATTTATTTAATTATTTTGGCTAAATTAACAATATTTAATTTTATATCAATATTATAAACTATATTTAATGAAAATTAAATTTTAGTTAAATTGATAATATTTAGAAAATGAATAGAGCAACGTTGTCGATAGTTATTACAGCTAAATCGAAGAAAAAGTATGAAATTAATAGGAAATAATAATATTTATTTAATTATTTTAGCTAAATTAACAATATTTAATTTTATATCAATATTATAAATTATATTTAATGAAAATTAAATTTTAGTTAAATTGATAATATTTAGAAAATGAATAGAGCAACGTCGTCGATAGTTATTGCAGTAAAATCGAGGCTAAATCGAAGAAAAAGTATGAAATTAATAGGAAATAATAATATTCATTTGATTGTTTTAGCTAAATTAATAATATTTAATTTTATATCTAATATTACAAATCATATTCAATGAAAATTAAATTTCAGTTAAATTGATAATATTTAGAAAATGAATGGAGCAACGTCGTCGATAGTTATTGCAGTGAAGTGAAAATTACCTTGAGGTTGGCAAGAGCATAGTCATCGATCGCCTCCAGTTTTGGACAATTTTCTATAATAAGACTCTCGAGGGACGTCAGGCCTGAAAAGGCCTGTGGTCCAACTGTCGTCAAATAAGGCATGCAACAGAGGCTCAACAATTTCAGTTTCGGCATCGCTGGGAACCGGTGTGGATGACTCGAGCCGATTATTTGAATCGGATTTTCATTCAGGTAAAGGTCCTCGAGCGCCGCTGCTTCCTCGAGGGCGCTTGGCGGCGATGTTAGGCGATTTCCGCTTAACTCGAGCTTTTTAAGATACCTAATTAATTGGTAGTTAAAGGTTGCGTTCGATTAAATTTCAACGAAGGAAGTGTTTCACCAGATTGTGAAACTAAAAATAATACGCTGAGAACAATCAAAATTATGGACAACGAAGGAAATGATAGTAAAAAAAAGAAAAAAAAAAATACTCGTGCAGCAAATAATTTCAGGATAAAGATATTCAGATATTGGCAGAAAGTTATCGTCAATTGAACGTATTAAAGAAATTCAGATGGCTCAAAATGCTTTCCATTTTATTTGTGAAATTTCGCGTCACCGAGCTTGGCTGATACACGGTATCTGGAGTCTCTTATCAAAGCAATCCCTGCTATCGAATCGAGTTCCCGTTGTTGTATCAATGTTTGCCTGATAGTTTGCGACCAGTATCGAGAAACTGAAGTATTCACCTGAACGATTGGAACTGACTGTCCGGAAGTGTCTTCAGACCGCAGTAACTCAGGTCTAGCTCTTCTAGATTCAGAAGAGAGCTGATCGCCAGGGATGTACGGCTGTCGATTTTCGTAAACAGATTCCAGGAAAGATTCAACACCTTCAGGCTCGTCATATGCTCGAAAAGATCCTGATGCAACGAATGGAGCACGTTGTGCGCCAAATTTAAGATCACCAGCTCTTCCAACGGCTCGTAGGCTGCCATCGAAAATTTGCCCTGAGACATCGCGAGAGAGATCGACATTTAATGATGTTGTATCAAAGAGTGATCGAATCAATTTCTCGAAAATCGGTGATGTCAATTTGCAAGAATTAACTTGTACCAAACATTACATTATATTTTTACAGCGAATTATTTTCAAATCTGAATACTGACGATAAATAGCGAAATATCTGTTCTACGTGACACGGTGATAAATAATTGATTTATCGCGAGTTACATCAAATTTTCCAAGAATTAGTGTTATCACGCAACGATTATGACCATAACAAAAAAAAAAAAAAAAAAATAGAACTGCGTGAATCATCGCGATCGCGATCGCAAATCGATGAAATAAATTGCATTTCTCTATTGCTCAACTTATTATATTACATTACCTCGAACACCTGAGGTTGCAAATTCTCCGACGTAAGTTGATTATGACTCAGGTCCAATTCCGTAAGGTTAATTATCTGCTTAAAGGCCCGATGATCGATTTTCGTGATTCTGTTCCTCTGCAGGATCAATCGCCTGATTTCCATTTGTGGGAACGGTTTCACGTGAACCAGCAAATTCCCTTTGAACGACGCAACTTTCATAGTTTTGTTTGGCCATTGTGCGTCTTTGAAGTGGTCAGTTAAATTTTTGTTAGCACAGTCTACGTTGTCATCTGATCGGAAACATTCGAAACCTGAATCTCTATTGTTCGCATAACCGAGAATTTTTGTATGTTATATTTTTTTTTTTTTTCGTTTTATATATATGAAGATCACAGGAGGAAAACATTTTTCGTGCTTCACGGAGAAATGATCATTAAGTTCACGGTGCATTATCAATTCGTCTTTTCTTTTTGCTCGATTGTTTGGACATTTCAAAATACTAAAGATTACTAAAACATCAATATTATAAATATTATTATATTATATAATATATTTTTATATTATATAAAATAATAATAATTAAATATTATAATACTAAATATTATAAAAATCATATATAAAAATGTTATATTATATAAAATCGTCTTTTTTTTTGCTCGATTGTTTGGACATTTCAAAGTATTATTCATAAATATTATAAATATTATTAATTATATAATATATTTTTATATATTATATAAAATAATAATAATTAAATATTATAATACTGAATATTATAAAAATAATATATTATATAAAGTAATGATTAAATATAATACTAAATATTATAAAAATATTATATTATATAAAATAATAATTAAATATTATAATACTAAATATTATAAAAATATTACATTATATAAAATAATAATTAAATATTATAATATTAAATATTATAAAAATAATATATAAAAATATTATATTATACAAAATAATAATAATTAAATATTATATTATATAATATAATATTAAATATTATCATAAATATTATTCGTTTGCTTCACGAATAACATCTCCTGTGATCCTTACATATAACATAATAATATAAGCCCATCAAGAAGTGAATTCATCAAGTTCCAATTTTTCGCTCACACAACATTTCATTTTCAATCTTTTTCCGATCAATTCACGTTATCTGATTCCGTTTCTCTCTTTCTTTTTTTTTTTTTTTTTACTAGGATATTTCCGTCGTTATCTCCTTCACCTAGACTTTACAATTTGTATAAAGCTCGAGGGAAACTGAATTACTGGTAACATTGCGTGAAGCAGTTACTTGGTCCTTAATGGAGCAATTTATAGTTATAACTTCGAATCTGCTTGATACAAAATTACCTTCGCAGTTGCACACGCTGCACAAACTCGGAAGTTCCGTTTCGGATGTTTGAGCTGCCGCAGTTTTGTTATTCTCGTTATTCGCGTTTGCGTTGTTGGCGACGACCTCGGCAATTGCAAAGGCGAGAAGAACGGTGATGAAACATCGGTAATCCATGGTTTTCTTGCGCGATCACCGCCAACAGAACCTTACACCGAGAAACTGAAGTTAGTTTTTCTGTATCAAGCCGAGTGCCTCTGATAACAAAACCGACGATAAGATACCGTTGATCGCCGTTACTCACCGCTCCAACCGCTCAAATCCCCCTTAATTCGCCTTTTCATTTTACGTTTATTGAACGCCATGTCCCACGACGATGCCAATTTTCGTGAACATGGTCGAATCTATGTTTTCATTTCGACCTGTAAATACTGATAAGTACAACATTACTTTATTGATACAGCTTGAAGAAGATCGAATTCAAGAATTAAAATAACTGTTGAATTTGCGTATTATAACAAACGAGGAGAATAAAAAAATTCTCAAGTATTTATTTTAAAGTATCTTACTTTACTTTGGTTTCGACGTTCAATCTCAAGTAACAGAGAAGATCGGGAAACATGAGTCTGAAGTAAGAATTTTAAAATTATTGTATCGTATGCATACGTACATTTACAATTATTGTATACATACACGTGTGTATTGTGTTGTAAAAACACGAAACTCGCAACCTGGACTCAGAGAGACAAGCTTCATAGAAACAGGTCATAATTCGCCCCTGCGAGAACGTCCTCGGTTAATAAAATCGTTCTTCACGTTTGTACGCAATTTTTTTTTTCCCCCTGTCAAATTTAAAAATCGCGCTCCAATTTGAGCGACACTTGAATGAACCGATAATGGCGCTCGTGTTGCCATCTGGTGCGCGTCCGCCGTACCAACGCAGAAGAGAAACCTTCGCGAAAAGTATTGAATCGGTGACGTCACAAAAGACGTGTCAGTGGAAGGAGTAGACAGGTTTCGCGGAGAGGAGCATGTTGAAAAATGCCCGATTACTTTAATTTATCGTGCACCGTGGATAGTAGTAAACAGAGGGGCTTGTGTTGACGCGCGTGCGAGCATTAGACCGGTGTCGGTACATGATTATCGTCGGGGCCCCGAGGTATCACGTGGACTGAAAGGAGATCGGTTTAGTCCGACTAAGCCCGACACGCCGACCACCCGAAATATCCACGGAAAGTAAAACTGGTGCGGACGGTGTTGTTTTGTTCCCCGTGGGATCCTCTTGGGGTGCTACATCCGGCGTCAGCGGTGAGTGATAACGAGATAAAACTGCATTAGTCTTTCGGTTTAATGTCATCGAGAACAGCTGTTTCGATACATCGTTCGATCCAGCCCAAATTCCCGCTGGGCCGTGTGCACCTGTGTGAATTTGAGAGGTTAGGTCTCGTCTGTTCGTTACTGGTGCGCCGATACACGCGAAAAACTTGTTTTGTGCGCAATACCCCCCAGTGAACGCCCATTCCTCGCGGTCTTCCTTGACAGAATTGCGGATTGATACGATCGATATTGTTAAGGGCCTTTCGAACCACTTTTTCCCAATGACATCGTGCCTGCCACGCGATCGATCCACCGATATCAACTGCGACAACGACCCGTTGAATTTCTACCCGTTGTCTTGCCTATTGTTTCTTCTTTGTTGTTTCGTTTTTCTTTCTTTTTTCTCTCTCTCTCTCTCTCTCTCTGTTTCTCTTTCTCTCTCTGTCAGTTACTCTTTCGAGAGTAATGATACTCACAATATATACATCTACGCCGTGAAATTATCGTTGTATCGTTCAAACAAGAGATTAGATAAATTGCGATTTATTTTATTTCGTGGAAAAACCAATTTCAGTTTTTACAGAGCAACAGTGACTCTTGCAGTAGGTCGTATAAATTACAGTGTAAATACGCTCTCGCGTCTTGAGAAGTTTTAGTTAGTTATCGCAAGGCCGTTTATTTGTATTGTCAATATTCCCAAGTGCCGGATAACTGGCGGGAAGTTTAACTTGAAGATGTCTCGTCGTGACATATCCGTTGCACGATATTTGTATATAACGTATGTAATTATATTCGAGCGATAGCATATATTTAATATATCGCGTTTAGATATAATTTGAATAATAAATAAATCAATTCTTTGGTTCGGTAACTTACGTAATGTTTGTATTATAAGACTCTTTGAATCAGCTATCAACTACCAACTTGAAAAATTTGTAAAAGTCGACTTAATTATTATTTCAACAATAATAGCCAACGGCATTCAATTAATAACGTAATTACAGTAGCATAGTCGTAGTATTGTTAATCACGATCTGTTGCACGGTCGAGCTATTTATGCTTCCATCTAGAACAGAATAATTCGTCCTAAGCGAATTACGTCAAAAGATAAATGGGGAGCCTCGGGATGCAAGCGTGTATCGCTGGCGAAACGAGAAAATCGCTGTTTACATCGTATCAGCAGAACCGGTTGAAATCGTTCAGAGAATTTGTTGTGGAAAAAAAGAGTGACAAAGATACCGCAATGAGGTATCGTCATTACGGCAACGGTGAGCTATATATATTCGATGAATCAAATTATAGTGCAGTCTCTCTCGATGCAATGGATTTTTTCTTTTTTTTTTGTTTTACTTGAAGCCTGTACTTAACCGAAATGGATTAATGAAATTTTTTTTTAGAAAGGAATTAAATTGCCAACTTGACGAAAAACAATTTACAAATCGATAAATTCAGTAATAGCTATAACATTTCGATAAAAGAATGTCTAGTGATTTTTTTTTTTTTTCGGCATTAAAAAAGAAAAAAAGAAAGATGAATTACAGTAATACGAGAGAAATAAAAATTCCCCGGTAAAGTAATTTTTTCCCCGTAACAATCGTGAAAATTATGAGAATAAAGTCGACTGTTCGTCATTATATTGTAGAAATTATTACGAAGTCTGAAAATAAGATCGACCGATTTAAATTTCTTCCACGAACACGCGCAAGACTTGGCTTATCTTGAATTTTGATCTTGAAATGCGTAGTTGTAAATAAAAAGGAGGAAATACCTGAAAGTTATTATGCAGATAATTCCCTTACGTAAACTAACATTTGCGACAGGTTAAACCAGGTATTTTGAAGAATTTATTAAATATCAGAAGTAGTTATGAAATCATTATCCAGCTATGTGTATCATCTTTAGCTTGCTCGCGCGATTTTTTAAACCAATCAAATTGCACTGATTTTTAATATTAGTATACTAATTTTCATCGCGAGTGTATAATAAAGAAAAACATGTATTTCCATCACTTCAAAAAGTTAATGCCTTTCTGCATTCTATCCGTTGCGCATGCGTGTTCCACGCAAGTAACATTTCTATATTTTGGCTGTACTGTTTTCACTCGACGATAAATTTTTATTCTTTCGTGTTATAAATAAAAAAAAAAATCAATCAAACATCTTTTGTATCTCAAAAAAAAAAGGTAAAACATTAAACGTAAATTTTTGAAAGTTTCTTCATTTAGTAAAAAAAAAAAATTTCAAACAAATAGATATAATTAAGAAATGAATATCTCTAGATTTAATCCCTAAAGGGGGGAGTGTTGCGCGTTAATTTTTTGACGGTTAATAAGGAACCGAGTGATAACAAGGAATTGAGCAACATTTTTCGTATGAATTGCAGGGTGAATTATGGAACACGCGGGGCGAAAGAAGTAGCGAAAGGAACTCGAATTTCCCGCAGAAATTTTATCGAGCACCCTATAGGTAGAGCGTTGCGCAGCAGTGAGGCATCGGCGCCGTCGGCAGCGGTGGCCTCTTGTAGTTTTTGCTACGCCCTCTTCGCATGAAAATGATTCTTCCCCGGCGTGTGTTGGTAGTAGGTAGGGATCGTCGACCATTGGTTATCGAACGTTTGACTGACAGTTCAACTATCTCGTGTTAGGCTCGCGATGAAAGGGAGAAAGAAAAACGACTTCTGGCCACGTATTAACGCCCACCGTTGATTCCGAAGCCGTTCTTTAACTCACGTCTCTTTCTGCCACGGTGTTGTTGCTCCGTTCACGACGCCGGTTTTAATACGCCGATGACTGACAGGTAGTAAACAAGTCCGCTTGCCCACGGGATACCATCTTTGTCATAATTAACTCTTTCGGTGCCAAGCCGGTATATGTGTGCGCGTTTAAACACGTTTCTCGTGTCGAAATATTTTTACTCGCACTTGTAAAATCTGATATCCGTGTATTATAAAATTAAAAATAATAATATGATGTACTATGCAATATATATGTTATATATATATGTATATGTATATATATATATATTGTTATAATTTGTACGTATTATAAATCGTTAAAAAAAGAATTGTTAAGGTATTTAGTGAACGAGTTCGAAGAAAGATGTATGATATATTCAGTGTCGCGTTTTCAAAATAAACATGATTTCGCTTCGAGAGATTGGACCAAATTATTTTTCATTTGTCCTTATTTCGAAAGTGGTGATATTTGAAAATCTCGACGTACATATTGATGAACACAGCAGTGGCAAATTAAGATACGGAAAAGTGCGAAATCGTAGAATAAGTTTGTTGACAAACAAATATTTGACCGCAGATATATACTTAGCGGAAGTTAAGTACTCCCTTATGTTCGAAAATGATCACTGTGTCTTAACAGACTGCTACAGCTCTGGCACTTAAAGGGTTAAAGATTCGTTTCTCCTCTTATTTGCGCTCGTAAAGACACGTTTCATCGCTTCTCTTCCATTACTTTGTCTTGTTAGAATGAGATGTTGCTTCGATATACTTGAACGTTTCTTCTGCCAAACCATTTCTCGTTTATTCTTTTTTGCAATTTTCACTGATCGCGTTTAATTGTTCAAGCGATTAAATTTATAAATCTATAATTTAACCGTGTAATTTTTTTCAAAATACGAAAAAAAAACGAAACGAATAAAAATTGAAAGACATTGGAAAAAATTGCTGAAAAAGTTTGAATAAGAATGACTTGAATAAGAATAACTTGATAAATTCCTTTAGCGAATTAATACGTCAGTTTCACGGCTCTTCCCCAGGTTAAGTTATTGCCTCTCACTCTTTGATTGCTTCTAATTGCACGTTCCTTGAAACTTCCAGTGTCGCAGTAATTATTAGGTGGTAACAAAAAATCAACACGTTGGGCAAGTCGTGCGGCAAATCGCGTGAGCAAAGTACATGTACGCCATTACATAGTTTCCGCCAATCCATTTCATTTGAATTAATAGCCGCCTTATTTTCGGCTCTACTCATGACACGTGGTTGCCGCTACGTTTTAAATTCTTATTCCATATTTTTCTTTTTCTTTTTTCATTTTTTCTTTTTTTTTTCTTATTGATATCTCAATAGGTCAAACTAAATTTCTACTAATTTTTTTTATTAATTCATTTGCATTATCTTTATTCATAAGTGTATGCTTAAGTAAGTATATTGTGTATATTGTATTTCCTGCTATTTGTTAAATGTTGTCACATTAAATGGAAAACTACGTTTTTTGTGAATACTATTGTTTGGTTATAAGTAATAAGTGCTAAGTACAAAATAGCCGGTCTCTGAGATAAAGGTAAATATAATATAATTAAAAGTAAAAATTTTTTTTTTTTGTTGCAAAATGGAAAACTTCCTTGGTATTAAAATTGATTTGTTTTCAATTCATAGACTAATTACCATAAAATAAAAATATATCCAACTTGATTACACGATTACTGATACATAATTAAAAAACGTCTGATTTTTTATGAATTCTTTAAAATATTTCTTCTTTTCAGTTCTTGCCTCTTTCTACTTCTGTTAGAGCATACATTCTCGTTTCTCTGTGCTTGTATAACATCGAGCACGAATAAGAATTTTGAAAATAATGCAACGCATTGTTTAAAAGAGTGAAATGATGAAAACAGGCGTCACTCTTCTCACGTTCGCAGTGTCGGTACGCAGTATGATAAAAGTAAACAGTGATAATGGCTGGTTCTCCGATCACAACTGGTAATAGTATTTGGAAGGAAGAGCGAGTTGTAATAATTCGTAAATACTGAGAAAGAAACGAATGGAAATGAAAGTTGGGTCCTCTCACTTTTGAAATTTTATTTATTTTTTTATTTTAAAGATTTTTTTTCTATTTCTAGTGATATTGCGAACGTGTGTACAACAAGAGAACAAACTTACCGGTTGAAAGACAAAAATCAACGCTATCTGTTGCCCGTTGCAAAATAATTTTGAAAGTGTCGCATTGCATAAGTACAAGTTATGGAACTGCTATATATATATATATATATATCCACATAACACAACACAATATATATTCACAAAAAAAATGGTTTGGCTCGTTCTCAATACATGTAATTAAATTATACATACATGCTACAAGAAAGAAGTTTACTTTGAATAGGAAATAATCATACAGAGATTACCTATGTAAAAAGAGAGAGAGAGAGGAGCCTTTTTATTACAAAACAAAGGACGTAAACTTCCAGAGAGAAATAATTTGATGCTTGATCTAGACTCTAGACCCTAGAAATAAAAAGAACAGTAAGAAGTTCTAAAAGGGGAGATGGAAGAAAGAAAAAAAAAAAGGAGCAGAAGTTCAAACATGTTAAGGTCGTTTCGACGTGTGGTTGCAGTCGTGGAAATGAAGCACACTGACCGTTCACCGTCAGCGATAATATTTTTAAATGAAAGCGGCAAGCGAGGCGACCGGCACAATAAATATCGGGTTTAACGGAAAGATGCGAGCGTGTTGGAAGCACCACTTGCAAGTAATGGTTTTACCTCTGTCCACCTCCGTTTTTTTTTTTTCTTTTTTTTTTTAACCGCCTTCCCTAGGTTTCAGCTATCGCCTCGCGGCATTCCCTTCAATGTATCTAACTCTTCTTCTCCCCGTATATCGATACTTTCTCTCACTTAGCGGTTCTTTACAACTATTCCATCACGGCGAAGTTTTGATAAAATGTCAGGAGTAACAGCTATTCCCTATTATTCGAAGAAGAATAAGATTCCATTACGTATTCATCTTTTATACCTGTATACCTATATTCTTTGTTACTTTTAGGTTTAAAAGACTCGCGCGACTATGGATCATTTGTCATCATATACAAGATAGAGAACGAATGGAAAATGTGAGTGTCTCTTCGTTGTAAAAGGAGAAGACAAAAACAAAAAAAAAGCGGAAGGAGGTGAAATCTATTTTCAAAATAGTTTCACAATGGGCAACAGATAACTGGATACAAGCGTCAAATGTAGGGAAATACAGTGGAAATAGAAAGAAAAGGAGCTGATAAGACGTCGAGATAACGGGCAGTGCCCGTTCATTGTAAATTCGTGCAAAAGAATCGCGTTTGGTCCAGTGACTAAACTATTTGGCCAACGAGAGTTTCTTTTCATCGATAAGCATCGGTAGTAGTCAGCCACGATTTTTCGGGTGTCGTCTTGTCGTGTGTCGCAGCATTTTATTTATTCATACCGGGAGGGAACGTGTGTGGGGATTGGGGAAAATTCAAAAGGAACGTTCGGAATGGGAAGCAGAACTGGTGCCAGCAACAGTGCTGATGGTGTTGAGACCGTCTAACGATGACATTTAAATGCAGTGCCGCGTATCGTTTGGTTCTTCGTGCCACGACGATTCCCTCCTTCTCCGTCCTTTTCTCACCCCCCGTTCCCCTGGTTCATCTCTGCTCGAAATACAAGCCAGGATATACCTTGCTTAGAGCGTGCAATGTTTTTATCCTGTTATATCTCTCCGAGGTGTCGTCCGTTCTATTTTCAAACTGTGTGAATATTACGCTTGCGTTAATCGATATATGCATTAATCCACGGTGACAATGAGTCTAACGGACAACGAATCTTTTCTGTTGCAGCGTGATCCTGTGAATTTTTTTACCGGAGGATTCGAGAAGCTCGACATTTACATATCAGAGGCCCCGGAGGACCTGGGCAACGATGGACGCTGCCAGACAGGAATGATAGGTCATACATTGACTCATACGATTTAAAAAAAAAAAAAAGAAAGAAAAAAAGAGAGAGAGAGAGAGAGAGAGAGAAAGAAGCAATGAAATAATAATTAAACACGATATACGAATGTAGAATGCAAGAGGGTAGCACCGCCGTGGCGCTAGCGATGGTGACTCCTGGTTACGATCAGGACCCTGCAAGTGGGGTTGCCGATTACACGACCCATCAGGATCAGGCTCAGTTCGAGGCAGACAAGAGGGCCGTATACAAGCATCCACTTTTCCCGTTGCTCGCGTTACTTTTCGAAAGATGCGAACAGGCTACGCAGAGCTCGGACAACTCGACGTCCGAAAGCTTCAACATGGACATACAGGCCTTCGTCCAACACCAAGAAAGAGACCGAAAGCCTTTTCTGATCAATGACCCCGAAATTGACGGTTTGGTAAGTCGATTCGCACGTTCTGTCTCTGATAAATATGATGATAAACTAATATAATGATGAAACTAATGAATTAAGACTGTTATACAATGTAATGTGCGTCAACATCTGATTTTAATCTATGTACATACATTAAAAAAAATATATATTGAGTTTTATATATATATATATATTATTAAAAATATATATAGAGTTATATATATACAGAGTGTCCATAAAGTCTCTTTACAATTTCAAAAATTTATCACAAAGGCAAAGAAAAAGACAGACAAGTGGAAATTATTACAAAATGAGACGTATATATTTAAGTTTTTTTTAAATTAGTTGCGAAGCAATTTTATATATATAATATATATAATTATTATATATTTTATATTATATATATTATATATTATATATTATAAATATATACGTCTCATTTTGTAATAATTTCCACTTGTCTGTCTTTTCATTTGCCTTTGTAATAAATTTTTATATCAAGAGTTAATTCTATTTTTACAACCGCAAATCTATCAACGCGTAATTTAAAAAAACAAAATTGACCGAACGTGCGCACGAACGGCCGTATTAAATCGAATGATAAATATTTCATGACGGATGTGTATTTATAGAGAAGTAGGACGAATAAAAAGTTGGACAGATTTTACATGAAATTAATAAACGAAGCTTTAGTGCTCTTTCTTTTTTTTTGCAAAAGCACGAACGGAACTTATTGCTCGACCTGACTCTCAAAGAAAAGACAAAAGAAAAAACAAAGGAGAGAACAATGAGCGACGCAGCACGGCTCGACGATGAAAAGAAAGTCGTTTAATCGTGGACGTTGCTTTTTTTTTTCTGTGCCCCTGCCAACGCAGATGATCAAGGCGATACAGGTGCTACGGATACACCTACTCGAGCTGGAAAAAGTGCAGGAGCTGTGCAAGGACTTTTGCAACAGGTACATCACGTGCCTGAAGGGCAAGATGCAAAGCGAGAATCTGCTACGCAGCGATTACAGCCACCATGGGCACGATATGGGCCCATCGAGTGGCAGCAACGGGAGCAGTCCTTTGCAGGTTAGATATTATTTTGAACGTCTGGTTGATAAGGCGGCCTGGCCTGTTTCCCCCTTCACCTAAGTAGTTATCCTTTTTTTTTAGTGATGCGCAAGAATCGCGAGTGTAATTTCCGAAAGAGAGAGAGAGAGAGAGAGAGAGAAAAAAAGAAACGAATACGCTGCAACGCTATAACGCGTGTTGCCTCTAAGCTACTACTCTCTTCACTTCTTACTCTTCTACACTTACGCTCTAACTCCCTTCTTCTCTAATTCTCTTGAAACGAAATGGAAAAACTTGAAACCTAGACCACGTATATTCCCTTTGTTAACGTTGCTGCGTATGCACAATTCCTGCATAGACGATGGACACAGTTTTAAAATAACCCGGCCGGAGATTTCTTGCCTCTTTGTGTGGAAGATCTCGAAATGTCGGTCGACTTGACTGACTCTCGTGAGCACTTTGTGACCTAAATGTTGCTGGTGGCAAACGAAAAGCTACCGATTGAGAGACATTTTCCTAGTGTTTATTAAAATTAATGGTGTCTCGTCAATTATATGCCAACAAAATGGACAAACGGCTAGCTCTCAACTGTCTCTCACCTTGGTCACTAACATTTCAAGCTTAACTCGCATAAATTCAAATCCTGAAAACGGACAAATTCAGTTTTCGAAAAAGTTCCTCTGAATTTAACATTTAAATAGCGTGTGTCGAGATCAAAGTCGATCAACTTAATTAATAGAAAATATATGTATGTACATGTATGTTGTATATCTGAAGTGAAAGAAAAAGAAGAGATGAGCGATACTTGCGCGTCGCTCGAAATATTATAGAACCCCCACCCCTGCTCTCTGACGGCTAGTTGCGACATATATTTCCCAGGTGCTGTCTTCTACAGGCAATGATGTTGAGTCGGGAGCTAACGGATTCAGAGTGAGCAGAGGCGACACCCTGTCGGAGAACGGTGGTGCGAGTCAGCTGGCTGCGCAAGAGGAAGCCGGTAACGACAGGCCGTCGTCGGTGCGATCATCTTCCACTGCTCAACGCTCGAACAGATCCTCCAGCCAAGACCATGACGATCCACTGTCACCTTCCACGGTACACGGGAGCACGCCCCTCTCTCAAATTGGGGCTCATTCCTGTGCGCCAGTCAACGACATGTATCTTGGTCAGGGTAAATATAACTAAATAAACACTTTGATTTCACGTCACAAATAACACACAGGTAACAATAACAATTGAAATCGAACGAGTCTTTCACGCATTTTTATTTGATAATTTGTTCTCTTTCTTCAGTTTGCCTTTGAAATTGAAGTGTTTGCAGCAAGGTGAGAAGGCAGCTCGGTTATTTTTATGGCCCACTGTACAGAAAGTGATTTTTTTTTTTTTTTTTTTCATTAATTTTGAATTAATAGCTTTCATTCAGAGCTACCTCCTCATGTTGCAGTTATTTTGTAGCCTTGATGCAGATGCAGATATTCAATCTTTTATTTGAGATTTTTGTTTGCATATTGAATTTCAGTACGGCAACATTGATGATCGCAGTAACAGGATTATAGATCATAGCTGGCTGATTTCGCCTCTCTAGTCTCGAATATTATTTTTTGTAATTGAAAACAATGAAAAATTGAACTTTGACAAAGATGAACAAAAAAAAAAAAAAAAAAACAATACTCCAGTTTAAACGTAAGCATTATCCAACTTACGTTTATAGATGATATGGACTATGTGAATATTGGCGAAAGAATATATTTAGAAGAGGCTGGTTATTGGGGCCTTCTCGCCTTACAAGAGCGTGAAAATGAATACATCGATGTCGGGGATGCAAATGACGAAAAGTATTTCGGTTAGACGAGCTTGGTTCTTTCTTACCAATGACTAACATCTTTCACTTGAGTATTAACCACTAACTAAACATGTGTGAACATAAACTGTACTTACACGTAATAGATAATGTCGATATACCGCGTAAAATAATAACAACCGACGAGTACGTCACGACAAATATATCGTGTTCATTGTGTCTAGATATCACTGTGGCAGGCTCCCCTTCACCTGCACCAAGCGAAGACGAAGATGAAGGATGTGGCACTGGTACTGCTACTTCCAATCACAGTAGTGGCCACGGAGGTAATCATAGTAGCGTTAAGAAAGGAAGACAAAAGCGAGGCGTATTACCTAAACAAGCTACAAGCATTATGCGAACTTGGCTCTTTGAACATTTAGTTGTAAGTGTAATCCAATGATCGTTATACTCTAGTCTAGTTGTACCGAGTTTGTTACACAAGCTCGCCAACTATTCACACACACACACACAACTTCCACTGCCACTTGGGTCGAGGTTGGAGGATTGTAAAGACTGACGTCGATTATTTTCTAGCATCCGTATCCGACGGAGGATGAGAAACGCCAGATAGCGAGTCAGACGAACCTGACGTTGCTCCAAGTCAATAATTGGTTCATCAATGCTCGTCGACGAATCCTTCAGCCGATGCTGGACGGTGCCGGGGCGGATTCAATACAGCGTGCTGGGAAACGTCATAAGGTGTCGAAACACGTGGTGCAACATCAGCAAGTACAGCAACAGCAGGGCGGTGGTTGGCAGTCCGAAGACTCGGGGAGCGATTCTGGCTCCAGCGACGGTGAGGGAGGTGCCGATAGATCGAAAGACGGTAACGATAGCGATGAAGATGATCTTCACTGACCTCTGTCGATCATCGAAACGTCAGCCTCTTTACGGTACCTTCAAATCCAGTTGCTCATTACAGTATTAAGGTATTCGAGAATAGATTTCGCTTTAATTGTCAAATACGTAATTATTCTCGCGAGAATTCAAGGGTATTATTGGTCGAGGTTATCACGCTCTCTTACATCGGACCCGACAGTTTCGATCTTCTTTATTCGTATTGTCACGGGATGTCTTTGCGTCTTTCAACATCGTTATACGTTAACAAACGATCCGAAAAGCATTGAAAGGAGATCTTGTGTAATTCAATTGTGAAACATGTTCTCCTCTTTTTATATATTGTCCGTAAGAGTGATTCAGTCAGGATAAGAAAAAAGAGAACATCTTTTATCGAAACCGCCAAGTAGAATGAAGCTTGTTTTAGAATTGTTACACTTCTTATTATTTTTTTTTTTTTTTTTTTTTTTTATCAATTTCGTTGCTACATTGAAACAGCTTGTTTTTCCCTGGATTGTTTGTTACTTCCTGCGATCATTTCTTAACGATTGTTAATTTACATATAATGGTTTAGGCTGACGAACACATACGTGGAATGAACCATCGTTTGTTAAACCATAAGCCGCATTTTCCACAACATTTACCGAGCGACCCGTAAGTTTCAGTTGGTTAGAGAGTAGCTCTAACATCAATAACTGTTTCGTAGGGGCAAATTATTTTTTGAAAAAAAAAAATAAATAAAAAGAAGACTTGAATATTGACACCAGTGAGAAGAGAGATCTTTATGGAAACAAATACATTTGCGTGTAACGTGTACATTTTTTCTATAATATAAACTACGAACGTTTTACTCCTTTAAATGATACGATTTAAAGAAAAGAAGAAAAAAAAAAAAAGAAAAAAAAGCTAACTCTAAGGTAACAACAGAAAAAAAAAATCAGCGTTACTGTTTATATATTTTTATATCGAAACTTTATTTCCTTCAAGCTGCGTTTTTCCCTGGCTTCACAGCGACACGAAACGTCTTTCAATATTTAACAACAATAAAAAAGAAAAAAAAAAAAGAAAAGGAAAAAAAGAGCAGTACATGATTAGAAATTATAATTTCCCTAGAAAGTTGAGGATAAGAAGAGGATCCTTTTATTGACAAACTACAAACTTAGTCTTATTTTCAGATGTTCTGATATACTATGAAAATGTTTTACAAGAGACACATTTATCCTATGAACCTTGAATGGAATTAAGAACAGAAAAGGCTAACAGTGTTCAAAGTAAAAAAAGGAGAAGAAAAAAAAGAAAGAAAGAAAGAAAGAAAAATGGAGATCAACCATCTGACTTACTTATTAGTTCTGCGAGCCTCGTATATAGCTGACTCGATTTCCTGAATAGTTTTGACAGAATTTAGAGATATTTCTTGTAAAAGGGGATATATATACCTGGCACTTTCTACAGTGTTATTGAAAATCGTCCAAACGAGACTATGTATAATATATAGATATCTTAAATAACGACACGAATGAACGATCGTTCTTAACCCTTCCTAATTAAAAATAAGCTATGCCGATATTGTGCTACTACGTTTACAACATAGGCCAGATGTGTTTTTCGCGTGTGATCGGTCGCCAACCATCCGAAATATAAACGAAACAGATCAATCTGAACCTCGTGAGAAAGAAAGAATCGTGCGTGAAAAAGTCGAGAAAACGAATTGACATGAATTCGGGAGGGGGGGGGGGGATGATGATTGTGATGATCGGTCAGTAATGGTAACAATCTCGGTCTTGTACTCTTCGTGCCATTAAAGAGCGTGGTAACTTCCGCGTTTAGTCTTTGTTCAGCTCTGCAGTGTCGTGACATAGCGAAGTGCTATCCCTCCAAGATAATAATAATAATAATAATAATAATAGTAATAATAATAATAACAACAACAATAATAATAATATTATAATTAATAATAATACTATTACGACTAATAACGATAACAACAACAATGATAATATAATACTACTTTAAATATATGATGATTATATTTTTAAACTCTAAGTGTCGTCTTTGAAGAAGAGAAGAGAGAAAGAGAAAAAAAAAAAGAAAAAAAACAAAAACACGAACGTGTTTACCGCAGTTCGGATGAATGTGGTGTTTGCTGTACATACAATATACGAGAACTATTAGAGATAAAGGAGAGAACGCTGTTGCGAGTTTTCTTCGAAAGAGAAGAAGCGAGAGAAACACGATTGACAATGTAATATCACTTTCCTTGTAACCGAAGAAGAAGAAGAAGAAGAAAAAAAAAAGAAAACAACAACCAGAGAAAAAGAGTCTAAGACTTGACGACAAGCATACATGCCATCTTAGGGTTATAAGTGTTCATACATTCGCTGTCTGCACATGATCGAAATTGCGTTTTACTGAAAGTGGTCCTTCAGAATAGTTGGCGAGATGTAAAACGTTTTATTTGAAGGGGGGGGGGGGGGGGGAAGAAAGAAAGAAAGAAAGGAAGAAAAAGACGAGAAGAAAACAGTTCCAAGATTTTCATCGCTTAATATATATAATCGATTTTGTTTTTTAAGACGACGACTGTTAATCATGTACATACGACATCTCTCCCAGCGTGATTGTCTTCTTATTATTCTTGAATTCATTTCCAAGCGTTCCGTCCATCGCATTTCCAAACACTTTTCGAGATCTTCGACTGCCTTCGAAACGCTATTGTCCCGTTAAAGCGTTTCAAGCATTTTTTTTTTTTTTTTTCAAACGTAGAAAATCGCAGAATGCAAGGCTTGGCAATTATTTTCAAGCTCACACCGTCATTATACTCTCTCTCTCTCTCTCTCTCTTTTTTTTCTGACAGAAAAACTATTTTCCTGTATTTTCAATTCTCTCTTTCACGATCTGTAAAATACGCTAAGAGACGAGATTGCGAAATGAAAGAAGGAAATAACAATTCACTAAGAATACTTTCTTAACCGCTTGCGCTCGAATGACGTGCCACCCGCGTCGAGAACGTTTTTGTTCCAAAAATTGTAATATTTTCTCAGTATTAAGTATGTTTATGTAAAACAAAGTTAGGCGAAACAAATAACAAATTCATTAATTCTTCTCAGTAATTTCTCTCGCACCGACGAGTTCAAATAGAAAGCGACGAATTATTATATGTACGGTGGCTCGGTCACTCGTTACGGTCCGCAATCAGTCGCCAGCGCAAGTGGTTAATAACAAGCTACACCGGCGTCGGTGATTCCTAATATACACGTAGCTAATTCTTCCGATTCCCGTGCATACGTCTGTGAAAAGAGATTTGCAAACTTTTACGACTGACATACGCAGCCGTCGATTTTTCGATCGTCGATCACTTTTTTTTTTCTTTTTTTTTTTTAACGACATCGTGAAACGATGAGGTTCGTAGATCGCAGGTGTGATCAAGGATGCGAGAAAGAAAGAAAGAAAGTAAAAATAACTGTTACAAATGTTCAAACCACTGCGGTCGAATGTACTCTGAATGCACTCGGTTGGAGCATTCGAAGCTTGAAGAATTATCGAATCGGATCTGTCGAATGATTTGCTTTTGCTCCGTTTAAATTGGTGTCCTACTTCACTTCCGGTATACATACATAATCGATGTACATAGCCGAAACAGGCACAAGGTGCTTCCATTAGTGGCTTACGAGCTTTCTCCGAGATAAACCAATTTCTATTCCAATAGTTGGGCCCAGTGTCTTATCCGCGGCTGCTCTGTGAAACTTATTGTAAAAGAAGTTCCAAAGGGGAGAAGCAAGTTGAACCCGGGGCTTAGTAAAACGATATCGTCAGTTGAAGACAGCTTTTATTACATACAGTATAGCTCCATATACGGTGTAGTGATATAAGTGAGGGGAAAAAAAAAGAATGAATAAATAAATAAATAAATAAATAAATAAATAGGTCGAACGATTGTGGACAATGGTCGCGGAAAAAAAGATAGAAAATCAACGAAAGAAACGCTGATCCCATTATAGGGCGAAACATATACATGTACATCGTTTGATGGCATTTTTTTCTACGTTGCTTTTCATCTCTAACTGGATCAGCGATTAATTGAAAAAAGAGAGAAAGAAAACAAAACGGGTCTACGATCGCTCGTACCAGTTATAGGTCGTCTGTGTTTATAAGTACCAGCAATAAAATGCGCACTCTTCATAAAGGGATAGAACTAACAATAAGAATCGTCGGCTCGTATCGCGTCAGATATCACCTGGTACGGGACTATACTGTACACTCTCGACTAAGCATAATTATAAAATAATGGTAGATTTATAAGAGGTAGGTTGTAAGGCTGAACCACGTATACGTATGTGCTGCGGCACCAGACGACTGTGATAACTCGGTGGGCGGTGCCCAGCCTCCTACTTCATACTTGTATACTGAAGAATTATGAAATATTTCGAAGACACGTATACACGTACATGTACACGCGATACAAAAGCCAGAAATTAAAAGAAACACACACACACACATAAAGTAGATACATTTACCAGAGAGGATATGTATATGTTAGAGCTTGCATTGAGAGAACTTAGTGCTTTGGTCCGTAGTACTTGCTTGGATTGTTCCTTTTTCGCCTTTTTGCGAGTTCTCGCTTGCGGTCTTGAGTGGCTCCTAAGTTCGAGTATGCTTGATTTGAAAGCGGGTTGTCGGACGTATTCGAGGATCAACGAGTATTTGGTATCTTTTGTAAATGTAAAGGAAAACAAGTCGATACGGTAGACATAGATTTACTATAATTATATATACTATACAGGCATACATATTTGGTCTACTATAATTGTTTAAGATTAAAATATGAATGCAAATATAAAGTATGAAAAATTCAAAACGTATGAACATTTTCCATCCTTCCAGGTGCATGAGGGGACGGACCTCCCAAGTAAATCTCTAATGTTGCATTAGTGATTGAAGTGCAAGCTCTAAAATATTTGAGAAGATAGGAATGGACCGAAAAAGTGTGATGATAATTAAGATTAAGTTTCATCCTTCGACTGCCTGAGTTCGTTGAATTATTTGTTTGTCTTCCAATAGATTTTTATGATTACTATACTAAAAACAATGTATATTTCACGTGTTATATTTCGCATATTGTTTCATTATGTATTGTATCGTTAATATGTCATGTACTATTAGGATAAAGCTTTTCTTTAAACTTTTTGTGTTGTATACATGCATTGATCTGCATTGTTCTGCTATAAATATGATGCAAAAAAAAAAAAAGAAAGAAAAGAAAAGTAGGGCTATTCAATTATGTGACTTACTTGTACTTTGCATCTGCGAAACAGTTTAGTCAAACTTTGGGATTACCACTTTCTTAATTTGTGTCTGTGTTGTAATTTTGTATTCTGTTTATTCCTATTTTATAAAAATTTCTTTACGTTTCGTTACGTTTCTTCGATACAAGTGTCTGTAAGAAATATATTTTAGTTTATGTATCTCATACAATATTCAAGAAGTCTAAAAGAGCCATTCCGTACCTTCTGGAATATACTTGAACGTACATTAACAAATGTTTTTACAATACTACAAAACAGATGCATGTATATAATAAATATAAAACTAAAGGACTTTCGCAGGTCCATTCCTAACTTGAAATTTTAAGTCGTAAATTAAACGTATTACATACATACTAAAAAAGAAATCATAAGTAAACAACATGAATACTTCTCTCTCGTGTACATCAAGGTCCTGTTAAATAAGTTGTTTATTGATAATAAACGCCATCACGCTTGCAATACGTGTTTCTGATTTTTATCGTTACCTTAAGATGTTAATAGTCAATTTTTCAGTAAGCGATTTTACATGTAAAATGATATGAAAGATTAACTTACTGATTCAAGTATAAAAACTTTTAATGGAAAAAACTGTGTGTTAATGAAGTAAGATTGATCTATTATCGGAATTCAAGTAAAAATTTAAATGTTTCGCTTTACCATACAAAACTACTTTTTATTATCGATAATGAGAACATGTAACTCATACATTTAACAAAACATCGGTCAATTGTATTGTTCGTCACACTCGTGTACATTTAAAAAAATATGAAATTGCAAGTAGACGCAGATAATTATTTATAAAAGCTCCTAAATTATGAGAAGGAATCAAAGAATTTAGTAAATAATATCTCTTTTGTAATGTATTTACACTGTCCTTACAAAATGCAATCAATCGGTGTACATATTTACAAATATTTTGGCTAAAATTTTCCTACAATTTCGTTCTGACTTCTGACAGAAGAATCCTTCGATTCAATTATTTTGTTAATTCCTACAGCCAGTAATCTAGATTTCTTAAATTACGAATAATTATTAGTTAAAGAATAAATATTGCAAACATGCTGAAAACATGAAATAATCAATATGCAATCTTAGATTCCTTTTTAATCAAAATGAACCCTTTATTGCAATTAAAAATTTTTCTATGAAACGAATTTTCGAGGCAAAGAAATTCGTTTACATCATGTATGCTATATTACTATCGCGTTTAAGTATTTCATAGAATTTATTTTTAGGTATCATGAGCAAGAATCGCGTTGAACGAATTAAATATCCTGCACTAACGTCAATTCATTTCCAATATGGGATAACTATAATAAATAAACGGAGAAATATAAAATTACAATTGCTAAAATTAGTACCTATGAAAATGATCTAATTAACGATTGAGTGTAACACAAATCAAATACATGAATGACATCTACATATATCAAATGTTTGTGAACAAAAAAAAAAAAAAAAAAATGGGCATGGAATTAAATAACCGTTGAAAGTACTATGTCGATCATACTAGCTGTAAATATTAGATGTAATTATACATATATAAATAAAATACGTATATACATGTATACGTTTAAATGTTGCGTACAAAAAGGATTCCAGTGAAATAAAAAATTCAACAGCTTTTCTAGTGCTAGTATACCCTGATTATGTACGTCGAGATACAGACGTAACACTCTCGCGTCAATTTCGATGGAATATAAAAAAAAAAAAAAAATAAATTCCATCGACTCATTGAATACACATAACGCACATTTATAAAAATGTATATGCTCGAATGTATATGTATAAGTATATGATTATCGATTCATATATAATGAATAATATCGATAATATCAAAGAAAGGGACGTGACAAATTAAATGAACGCGCACGATCGTTCCCATTATACTAACAACAGATGCACAAGTTTGATTAAACAGTCATCGTACACGTCACGACAACGTCGGAATTAAATGTCGGTGGCAATTCGTAATATATTTCAACATTGAGGTATAAAAATTGTCCGAGAGCGTACCACACATACATTCAAAGGCTAGTTACTGGAACATCCTCGTCCTCTTGATGATCCAACCGTGCCATTGATATGTGGTCCGCAGCGTATCCCTAGCAGTTTATCGTTCTTCTAAAACAAATTTCTTTAATATTTAACGTAGTAATTGACTAAACTAATACAACGGGCTTTCTACATTTCAAGTTACATTAAATTACCTCGAATTAAACAGTATATCAGCTCGGGAATTAATGAACCATACGAGAATGAATGACACGCCAGCCACTGAACTTCCTAAAATCATGGTGAGCCGTTCTGTAGCTGCTGAAGGTTTCAGGAACATCCTTACGCTTAACGTTTGCCATATAGATTCTGTCCATGTTGAATACATTCCCGATTTCATGTCGTATCCTAAGAACCAAAACGTAAAAGAGCTTGTAATTGTTCCGGAACAATTTTGTTTAATGAACCTCTCAATCGACAAACTTACCATCAATAATAAATGCTGGACTCATGGCGGTGCTGTAATTTACAGTCGAGTTTATACATAAACCTGTGTTATTAATACCGGCCATCCAAATAAGATGATTTTCATAACACATCGCTTCTGTCATATTTGAAACTTCTTCTCTAGTCAGAAATGCAAGAAGTTGTCCAGTCAATGTTGTGGCAGTATTTGGTACCCTATGCACGCCAACGTATAACGACAAAACTTGATTTGCTAATTTGGCGTTTGGAGATGAAGCAGCTTGAAACAAGGTGCATTTAGCAGTCTCTAAGTAACATTTCAACATTTCCGAGACGTAGAATTCAACCAAATGAGAAGAATCGTAATCGACAAAAGGCCGAGCACCGAATACATCTTCATAAAGGATTTCGGCGACGCTGGTTGCTATCTTTGCCAAAGCGGTTGCAAGCCCGTCGCTCCTAAAAGAACATACTTTTTATAATCAAAATTTAAAACAAGATCTTACCATTTAAAGGCATAACATTAAAATAGCTGAGTACTTGTTGAAATTAAGACTTTCCGCATCATCCAGAATTCCATTGTAATATTTGTTTTTAAATTGTTGGCCATGATCACTTATAACAACAGCAGTCAAATTTGGCCTTTCTTCTAAAAAACTCTGTACAGACGTCGGCGGTACACTGCCTTCCAAAATTTTAGCATTCAACGCTACTTGTATCTTTTTTATCACTTCGTCGTTCTGGGCATTATTAGAATGAAGAAACAATTCTCCTTCAGTCAGCTGACCAAATTCGATCACACTTTTAATATCATCAAACTTTAAATTTACACCACCTAATGCATTGAAGTTACCTTCTTTCAAATCATAAATGAATCTACTAGATCCTATATAATCAAAAGCTTCGCCGTTTAATAAACAGAAAACAACGTTAGTTTCTGGAAAAAAGAAAGATACGACGAGAGATTAAAAAATACTTGTACATGCATGCATTGTACATATAATACATTGTTACACCTACTATTCACTACAGCATCTTTAGCTAACGTATTCAGATAATAAGCGGTGGCAAGTAATGTCACTAATCCTGTGACTACATTCCCTGCACCAGGTGATATTCCATCAAACAAAGAAGAAGCATCCAATCGAGCTGTTACTAATATAACAGAATTTTTATCTTGATTTATGGGAGCCAAAGGCCAATATATATTCCTATCGCCCAAAGGATCACAGAATTGTGTTGGATTGAAATTCAGTTTAAAATCACTACGTTTAATGCAAGATTCAGAATTAATTGCGGCAAACATGAACGATTTCATTTCTAATGCACACAATGGTCTATGCTGTTGATTCTCTATATCATGCGCATTGTGTTTTAAAAAACAGGATCTTACAGCTTCTACCAATGTTTGATTCTGAAATGAAAAATTGGTCAATTTTGCAACCTATGCGAACGACAAAATGTAGGAAGAGTGAATTAATTACATAATAATCTAAAGACAACCTCTGTATAAAACATGGGGAAAGGCCAATCTTCCATAAGCAATGAGGATCCATGGGGATTCCAATCCACAAGAACATCATCATTGCACTGTTTGTATCCTGAATATCTGTTGGGGCAAGTATCTTCAGGAGAATAAAATTCAGGAAGTGGTTGACTACTATTTTTAGCCAACAGAACTCCATTTATGTTATTCATGTTCTTCAATTGAAGTAGTATGTCTCTGGTGAACATGGAAAATGTAAGAACCACAGTGTAATCTCCAGCAGTAGCATTGTGTTCAAGCCATCTAATGTCATCTTCATCTTCAACTAAATGAATAACACCAACACTTCCTGATCTACTTGCTACAACATACAACACAATAGTTTTTTTGTCAATTTACCTTTGTCTCATTAGTCAAATTCAGTTGAAATATTAAGCCAAAATTATTTACAACAAAAAGTTACATTGACAAATGGATTACACAGTGTAATGTATAATAATCTTACAGGAACATCCAAATTGATGTGTTCCATTGTGTCTACGAAAACAGGCAGCAACTCCTTCAAAGTTCATATAAATCATATCCTTTATTCGCTCTGCAGCCACTAAAAGAAACAAGTATATACTTATTAAATCTTGTTTCTGGATCATATAAAAATTTTCCAACATTTTACCCACACACTCGACTTTACCCATGCTTTGTTTTGAAAGTCAAGAGTTTCATAATTTTATAGTTTATTAAATTACTCGTTGAGATGAAACCTCAATAGTTAATCTTTTGTCTATTATGTAGATATTCTGGAAGTAAAGCTCTTTTTTTTATTTATCTTACCTAGATTTATCACGAAGAATATTAAAAGATATCCGTAATGCAAACATTTTGCCATTTTTCCCTTCGTGGTGGCACCTGTCAACCGTTCGTATTTTCTTTAACCACCACTACGGATCCTTTTTGCGAAGGTTAGACACGACGGCACAGATGCATCGCGTGAATCAGAAAATTGAGCGTTTCATATTTCGCCTGATCCTACTAGCGCCATCATGCTGCGATCTCATTATTAGAAGTTGTCTTCTGGATCGCTATGGTAAATCAGAAGGGGTGAAAAATAAAAATTTGTTCTATAAATAATTAATATAACTAGAACATGTTTCATTATGTTTTAGAACAATTTGCAATCAAATGCATCAATACTTAAAGACAATCTAAAGAAAATTTATTGAATTACCCGTTGCAACATCCAACAGACAATCAAGTGAAGTCGAAATGAAATTTTGATAAGCTTTTAAGATCCAGCCGAACGAACGAAGTAACTGAAATATTTATAAAGAAAAAAAAAGAAAGAATGAAAAAAAGAAATGGAAGTCAGTTGAATTGAAGTACCTACCCATAAATACTACGTTCCTGAGCATTAGTTCATTAGTCATTCTTACTCGTTCCAACTCGTCATCTCGTTGCCAGTGTTATTTCGTCATGTGTGTTAATAAGTTAAAACTCTCCTCCCCTATCTTTCTACTGTCTACGTAGTCTTAAAAAAAAATTCTTTTTTATAGTGACTGTATCTTTGCGTTCGAAGCACTATCACGTTTTCTAGGTAAAGTGATAATTCATTAATGGAACGTCATCGTAATACATACATAAGTTATATGACGCGCAATATTCAATCAAATGTCGTAAATAAATACGCCATACACACGTCGTCGTATCGATCGCGCAATTTGTAATTATCAACAGCAAATATAATAATCAGTAACTTTTTTTGTTTTTTTTTACAAAACTCTTCGATACATGTAGTTTACTTATCGAGTAAATTTGATATTTACAGGGAGCTTGAAATAATGTTAACTTTGTGAGAAGAGACGCAACAGAGAAAAGAAGAGATAGGATAATTCATATAAATTACAAAGGTAAACAATTACTTTTTATAAGATTTAAGATCTGTTTCGGATCAGAGAGAGATCAAACAATTGACATACATTTTTTCCAATAATAATAAAAAGTAGCACTATAATATTTATATAATAAAATATTTAAAAAATATTCTTGCAGATAATTTAACGCGCCACTTCTCTGCTCACTTGTTTTTTCCATTCAGAATGATGAATTTTGAAGAAGCTTACTGCTCGAAAACTTCTGGTTTTATCACGTGTTAAATTCCGTCGAATTCCGTCGAATTCCGGGAACATTGTTCACAATTCCCAACTTCGAATCCCCTCGAGGGAGGCCCCTTTCGAATTCGCAATTCATCGTAAGAATTATCGCAAAAACGTGACCTGTTCTCCACATTTTCTACAAAAAGTAGTTTGTGTCGTTCGTTCCTTCGTTAATTCCCGAATTCCTGAAATTGACGTCGACGTCGGCATTTTCCCTAAAACAGGAAGCGGGGGGAAGGAGTGGAGGAGGGGACACGCATCGAGATGATGACGCATGTCGCGTGAACGGTATATAGAATAGCCATGGACGAATTGCCTATGAAGCACATATACAGGTATCATTAGGCAGTGTACACGTGAGCCGTGAAACACGTGTGTCAGCTGTCTTTCGCGGTGGAACAGTGTCGCTCGCACCAGAAACACCGCAGCGAGTAAAGTGTCGAGTCGAGACTAGTTCTTCGGGGAGATCGTTCAACGAAAAATAATCGCCGAAACAAGAGAAAGAGGGAGATCCTTTCGTGCAACGATCTTTGAAACGTGTGTTTTATAGTTACCAGTAGTTGCGTAGTGCACGAGATTTTAACGAGAAACAAGCAAACACATAGAGAAATATTGGTATTTGGAAAACGTCGCATTATTGAGAGTGTGTGTTGTTCTGCTTTTACGTACAAAAAAGAAAAAAATCTACGTTTCAGTAGGGGTGATCAGTAATTCGGTCAGTTATATAGGGGGGGAATGATTAGCACGATGTTGAAATTCAACGGCCAGGTCACAGGGTTCGCTGCGTAACATTTCCGTGGCAAGGAAAATTGTAATATCGATATAGAATAGCTGTCGATGTTTTCTCGCAAGAATAGTTTTTCAATTGGAAATGGCGAAGCGTTATTTATCGTAACAGTGCCGCGAGTTACGATCTAGATTCGTTAATTGACCACCTCTATCCTATCCGTAGCTCTTGAAACTAACTTTTTTGGAACGAGTCTTTGCTGTTGTAGGTGTACAGTGAATCTTGAACATTTTTATGTGAATTGTATCATGTGTTAAAAATGTCCAGGTTTCTTAATGTGATGGATGATTGACTATTTAAATATACTTTTGTACATTTTTCATTTAAGTGAATCTCCTTATATAATCATATTTAGCGAGACCATCTTTTCTGTTAATTAATGTGTTCAATACCATTGTTCATGCTGAGTGTTAATTTTTTATTTTACGCCAATACGAATGATTTGTAACGTCTGATACACATATTTAGATTGGTGTCAAATATAATCACGATTCATAAATGGTAATTCTACATCGCTGTCAGACGTTTGTAATTTCGTAGAAAAATACCTCTCTTGATAATAAAGCCTGTCCCGTGGTCAGTTAACGAAGGACCAGTTTGGTGTAATGAAATATTGTTGTTATATTTGGAAGAATGAGTTGCGTTGCTCTATTTGATGTGATTATAATGTGCTAATGGTACGCGGTTTGTTTCAGGCGACAACTTGACCGGGAAACCGAATCGAATGCTGGCGGCGAGCCACTGCGAAAGTAAATGGGTTTCGCTTCCAAAGAACACGATTCTCCATCGCAGACATTTCGTTCCATCCGTCAGCTTGTGCCCGGCGATTCGCGCTCATTCGCAGATCACCGTCCTTGAGGAACATAAAATTCAGTCACAACCGGGATAATAGGTAACGATTTCTGTTCTTTAATCTTCAATTTACGTCATTCCGATGCATGCGTCGTATGTATGTGCAACGACTACAAAATGTCGAATGTGATACACATTCAAGTATATTGAATTTCGCATCATTTTTGTGGTACAATCGCGCGACTGTAAAAATTTGATTATTATGAAAATGATCAATTATTTAATTTAAATTGATACATTGAAAATGAATTTGATAAAAAAAAAAAAATCTGTTCTTATGGTCGCCGAATTATACGGAAGCTTGTAACGTACGAAAAGTTATAATGTCATTTTTACGTATCGTGATAAGAATAGAGTATTTATATCGAATAATAATCAAATGGGACAGCATTTGAATGGGACAGCAGAGTTACGTTGTAAATAATATTTTTTTTAAATGAGACAACGTTAGAGTTACGTTCGTACAGAACGATAAACCGTTTAGTATAATATCGTCTGTCATTGATGTTCGTTCACGGCTTACCTTAAATTTAACGCTACTGTTAAATTTACTTGCCGTTTCAATCGTGTTACGAACGAATGCGTCGATCTTACAAATGAACTTGTAAATTATTGGTAAATCCTGAAGTTTTCGGAATTTTTTTTTTTTTTTTTTTTTTTTGCAAAAAGCTAATTACATCTGTTTAGTTTCCGAAATCTACGTTTCAAATGTTTCTCAATACAAGTTCGATGCATTGCAAAGAATTTACAAATTGTAAAAATTTTTATAAAACGTTGCTCATCGAATTTTTAATCTTTTTTAAGGGATAAGGTTTTTAAACGAGTATTCGATCAGTAGGGGCAATCGAGTACACAACGAACGATGTTTAATTAGTAATTAATATCAGTTTCCTTTCTCTTCGTAATACACGTGAGTCGCAAAGGGGAACACGTGCATGGTCTACTGGGAACCGGCAACCGTATCTACAAGTCCATGACCTCCTTTAATAGATTACAAATTTCTTCTTTTATATATTTCGTTTCACATAATGTAAATCCTTTTTCTTTCCTGACACTGTCAGATATCATATTAGAGTCTTTTACATTTAAAGGATATAAAAGAAAATCCTAAAAAATTAAAATACAGTTTCATTATTAAATAAACAATTATTTTTATTTATTTTTAAAAAAATTTCTATTGGAAATAAGAAGATCCTCGACGGATTCTCAAAGAAAGAGTTAAAGTTCCTGATTTTGAATTCTCGAAAAAAAAGATTTAGATCTGTTTGGAAGATTGGAGACTTAGGATTTCTCGCCGCTCGGGTACAAATTCTATTGCAAAAGAGGAAAGAGAGGAGTGAACATCATTCATCAAATTGAAGATTCTCCCTATACAATGAATCCACGTGATCCGCAAACGTGAGCACGTGTATAGCTAGAGGCTAAGGAACGTTTGATTTCCAATTAGTCCATGACCGTTTTCTATCCGTAGCCGATCCTTTTACTCGGGTATACGGCTCAAAATATACATAGACCTCTTATAAAGATACCAATGCCGGACCAATGCAACGATGCGTAACTAGCACGTGCATGCCCTAGTCGTCAGCCTCTCCGTGGTCCCAATTCGACCAATGTTGTCCCCTTGCACAACGATTACAACAGCCTTTCCAATCGTCCTTTCGCTTTTTCTCACCGCCCTCTGCGGCGGAGACCGTGGCAGCTCTCTTCGGCTACGAGTCGAGGGCACTGCATTCCTTCTGTAGCAACCCAAGTTCGTTCAGCAAGTTCTTGAGAAGTAGCGCGGAGCCTTTCGTGGCTACCTACACGCTAATTGGATACACCTTGAAGGATTTTTCAGCCTATAGTTATAGGATGGTTTAAGATTGATTTCATCAATTATATTTTGAAAGTGTAGATAAAGTGTTCAAGTTGTGAAATTTTTTGGAGATTTCTTGTTGGAGTGTGATTTATTTATTTATTTTTTTTTTTTTAAGGAAAAATTAAAGATTGTTATAGTAACGAATGTGTAATGTAAAATCGTAGACACTATGTCTCTGTGACAATTAATTCTTTACAATATGTCGTAGATTGAAAATAGGTACATCTAAAGTAATAGACTTTTATTTAATAATTTTATCTTTTATCATAAAAATGTCGCAGTTGGAGTAATATAGTGTTTAGTAACTTCTTCTTGATAGAAGCAACTATTATAGATTGTAAATCTTTGAAGGGGATTGATGGTGGATTTAATTTATATTCTGGTAATGTAATTTGATTGCGACACATTGCAATTGAAAAAATTGACAATTGTGGTAATTTTTAATAAACGGTGAAACAGTTTTTGGTAATGTAACTTACATAGTTTTTGAAAGTGCGATCAATTGTTTTTAAAAAACTTTTGCTAAAATGTTTGCTGATAGATGCTGGCACTAATGAGCACTGTAAAGCCTGATTCCTTGGACGTCGACAATGATAAGTTCAAATCCATCATGAAAATATCAAGCAAAGGCTCGATTGAACAGAGGAGGGATCGTTCCGGAGGAAGCGATGAGGACTCTGCGAAAACTTTGCAACTTTTACGAATTAAGGGATTTCATCGATTGTTACCTGAAGGTTAGACTTGCTTTCATTTCTGCAAGAAGTAATACAATGACCAGCTTCATCCTTCGAAAATTCAATTAACTTGTTTGTTGAAAATAATATTTACGACATGAACAACGTGATATCGATTTTTTTGCAGGAATTAAGGCGTTGGTCAATTACTGCCGATACCTACAAGAATTATCATTGCCTTATTCATTGCTTAGTGACGAATTGTTATTAGCCTTGAGCTCTGAAAAACAAATGCAACTGGAAACCCTGCGATTGGAAGTGCACCCAGAAACAAAACCATTTCCGCGAGTCAGCGATAAAGCTTGGTTTACCTTTTCCAGCCACTTGCCGAACATAAATCTTATGCTGTGAGTGCATTAATACATTAACTTTTAACTATAAACATTCACGATCCGATGGTGGATTCTGACACAGTTGCAGCATTTAAAAGAATTGACGTAAATTTGTTGTTCTGTCACATGTATAAAAATACAAAGTATCCTTGTGTTACAGGAAGATGTATCTATATTTTATCGGTGTATTATGTAGTATATTATACACATGTAGTATGTAAAATGTAAAATTCATTCCGTAATGTGTCACCCTTTTGGTATTTCTTTTTATGGTGTGTAATATAATGTTTCATTTTGTACACTAAATTAGATTGTCCTACATGACGAGCGAAGACGATCAGAGTCCATTATTCGCGCCGTACGTTCCTATAACGCACTTATACTTCGGGGAAGCACCGTCGGAAGCAACTATATTACGTATCAGCTATCAATGTCCCCGGTTGATCGAGCTAGTAATTGCAGCTTATGGACCAGGTTTACTTGATCACGCATTACTCTCTGTCGCTCAAAGATGTCCACGTCTAAGCGCCGTGGGTTTGGGTGATTGCGAAATCACGTACGTAACTCGCTAATTAAATTTCTCTATCCAATAGTCTAATGCTTGAATTTTATAAAACTTGACATATTTCAACGAATATCGCGAGAGTTTCGAATTCTTCAATACTTTATAGCTGCTTTTAACGATAATTGCATCCACGTTGTACTTTTCAATTTCATTGTTATCGCATTGTAGCTTTTCTGTAATTAACTCACGATTCAGGCAAAATATTTAAATGACGGTAATATCTGTTTTCCTTGCTCCACGCTCAGTTGCTCAGGATTGTTGGAATTTGTTACACTCTGTGCAAAACGTTTGCGAATATTGTACGTTTGGGAAACGTCATTGATAGAGGATTCAGAACTTGACATCGCCAAACTATCGAAGAATGTGTCATTGCTCCTTGGTCGTACTTGGGTACCTGAATATATACCATTATGTTGAAACTTAATGAATGACCGAAGCGATTCGTTACGATGGAAATTCAGTTAATGGCCGACAATAGTTTGCGCATGTAACCAAAAAGTGTGCGTAAGTGATCAATGAAACATTACGGAACATGTATAATCTTTGTCCACTTTTTATACATATATATAAAAAAAAAACACACACACACACACATACACATTATGTAAGAAACCATATAATTTGTAGCATAGATATTATATGCACATTGTAGGTTTCCAATAATCTTAGGATTGATGTTTACAAAAAAAGCTTTTCCGAAGACAACGTTTTAAATATATGATTGAAGTAAAAAAAAAAATCTTCATGCTTTTTGATCCATCGTAATGCTGAAAATGGGATTTAACACTTGTTCCAAGAAGAATGCGGGGAAAAATGTTATTATCAGTTATCACGTTTTTCATTGATATAATGTAAAATCCAATACGATCGGATGCGATCTATATGTACAAAAAGAAGAAAAAAAGAGCAAAAAAACCTCATACTGTAAAAATTGCTCGTGTCTGTTAATACCAAAAATATAAACTTTATTAGATTATAATGGTATCTCTTGCGTGTAGTGTATATAAAATAAAATAATACCACTACTTATTTACCAACCGTCACGCATGATAGATATGTATAATATACAATAATTGATATAATCTATAATGTTATTGTAATACAACAGAGTATGTACATTATTTCTACATTATAACACAATAAATTGGGTATACTTAGCAATTACAATATTTAATAACGTTAACAATTAATACCCTTAATATTTACTTGTTTTTCAATTTACGCAATTATTCTGTTTCATTTTTTTCCTGTTTTTTCTTTTTACATTTTATTCACGCTATTCTAAGGATGCGAGGCGCTCAGTCTTATATCCCAACCGATATATCCCAATCTCTTGTCTTATTTAAGGCCGATTAAAAATCTATCGTTTCAAACAGTTTACAAATTTCGGTTAAGTTTTCGATAAATCATATTTTAATCGTAAATGAGAATCTGTGTCATTTTTTTTTTATCGCAACAATTCTAACATTATAATACATGACACGTAGATCGTGTCGAATAAATATTATTATACTTTTATATGAACATCATAATATTTTCGATAATTTTTTAAAAATATGACAGAGGTTAAATTATTCAATATATATAACAACATGCTATAAGATTGTTACATCATCGATTACAAAACGTATTAATTACTCATTAGCATTCATTAAGCAACTGATGAGTAGTAAGCGTACACAAAACTAATTTAACACTTAAAGTAACAGAGCCCTTTGAACACGCTTTAATATTACATATTAAAATGGTTATCTCCCTGCTAATATCAATATAGATATTTTAATGAGAAATATCGCGAGAACTTTAGGAACATGTTGAAAATTATTCTAATGTAAATGTATGACTTTTGTTTTTTATTCTATGTATTATCAACATACGCGTTACATAAATTTAAAATTTGTTAAAATAAAAATTACTCGAAAAAGGGCTCTTGTACACGTAATAAAATATTTCCATGAAAATTAAAATCAAATGCAATGATTAATTTTATTACTTTTTGCTTGATCAACAATTTTTGTTCATTATGATAATCTCTTGAAATTTACTAGATGAATACGATCACGTTTCATTCACAATAAAAATTAGAATAAGATAAAAATTATTTAAATGAAAATGTAACGTCACAATTACTTATATCGTCCATTTACTCGTTTTACATTTTTTATCTTTTATGTGATCTGTATATGTACGTATATATACTATATATATACGTGTAAATTTTTTTACGAATAATTCAATGTTGACAAATTTTATGTTAATTAACTAAAAGTCAGACAGTTACGTATTAGTCAAAACTTAGCTATATACACGATAAATCTCTTGAGCATGATCTGTACAATGCTAACAAATTCTAAAACTTGGAGTACTATTTACATGAAAGATTTTCCTTAGCAACAATTTACATTTACAGGAAAATCTATTTAAAATATAATATATTACAAGTTAGCTCTGTACAGATCACGATACGCCGAAGCTTAGTTTCAATTTTAAATACAGTTCACAGCTGCATACAAAACATGTCTAAGATATCATTAATTTTTTTAGCACCAGCTTAGGCATGTTTACCATCATTTTACATCTCCTACTTTTGGCAAAATAATAATAATGCTATTGTTTCGTAACGTTTACGAATAATAGGCTTAACGAAATAGGTCGGCAATTATCCTATGTCATTATAAAGGAGCAATCAAACAAATGGACGGGTTGGTTGCTTATTCTACGCATAATTTAAGTGTTTGGATACACATAAAATTGATGCAATTTTAAGAGACATAATGATTTTGAGCACTGTGGCTGCTAAATTTGCTTCAGGGGCTTGAATATTAAAGTAATATTCAACTCTCTCTTAAGTAATTCGTTTTAAAAAATCTTTTCAAGACTTTTTCTATCAAATGTTCACGGTGATCATATAAAGCTTAAGCCCCATGAATAAAATGGATCATATAATTATGATTGCCTTGGCGCATAATATTAACAACAACAAGATTTTCATAACGAAATATCGTATTGAAAATAATAGGTTCCCCTCTTTTAATAATAGATTCTGCTATTATTTACGCACCTGTCCATTATTTGTTAAGATATGGCATCTGGTACAAACCAGTCATATCGATAAAAATATCTCATACATCTGAATAGACCCTGTAACATTTTTTCAAAGTATTTTCCTTAAATTGACATTGATTTTATATTTATATTTAAATATATTTTTTTCATACCCAAACAATACAATCAATCCGGCATGTCTATAGAAATTATAGGTACAACGGGTTTCATTAGGTCGACTTTTTTAACGTGTTTTTCATTCTTTTCTGAGACCATTGGTTCTGATGGTGGTTGGTCTTGCTCACTTCTCGGTTGATAAGAAATATTACCATATTCTTGGAGCAGTGGACATAATCCCAATAGAAAATGACAAAAATCTTTTCTAATACCAAACCACCCTAGAATCATTAACAATTTTTTTTTTGTAATAATAGTAATTTTACCATTATAAAATATTTAATTCTACACTAAACATATATTTAATATTGATCTTACATCTGTTTCCTCCTTTTGCATCAAATGACATAAAAATAAGAGTTATATGAGATATTAAAAGCGGCATTGCTACAGTTGTATAATTCAATGAAATATCTCCATCCAATTTATTTGCTAATAGTACCTATAATGATAAATCAAGTCATTCAATAGCATTGTCAAAATTTATTCAAAGAAAAATTAATTTTAAAATTATTGTAATACTTACTTGAAACACAAGGATTGGAACCACAAGAAATGTATATGCCAATGCCGAATTCAAAGATGTCCGCCTTTGTCTGGCATTAATTTGTGGAGTTCTTAACAAGACAGCAGCAAAGACTATTGCATATAGCACTGCAACTAAAGATAATGATAGAAGTGCCCAAAGGGGAGCAAACACTACTTCCCAGCTCCACGTGATGATACCATCTAGTCTTAATGCCAAGAAAATAAACTGCAGTATATTTACTGCACAGAATAATTCAAGTTCAAACGATCGGTCATGCTTTGCAGCCCATATGCATACCTAAAGAGATAATAACATTTTCTAGAAACATAATTTATATTCAGATATACAATTGAAAATTACTTACAACTATTGATACTGCAGAGATAAAGATAAGTGGTATAAATACAAGCATCCAAAGATGTCTTTCAGATTCTAATTTATCACATACTAACAATTCAAACATTAACAGAATCAAATGTAATGCCAATGTAATCAACATTGCTTTATAATGTATATAAGCATCTCCTTCCAACCTTGCATGTGGATGCCTCCACCAAACATAACTTCCAATAGTAGCACCCAAAATTACCATGCTTTTCCAAAACCATATTGGTGTAAATACAGTCCAATAACTCCATTCTATGAAACCGTCCAAACGAAGCGCAAATAAAGTTGTAAATATCATCAAACAGGAGTGTACCAAAAATTTACTAAAATATAAATTAAAACTGATTAGTATATTTTATTGCATACAATACCAAATAAACATTTTTGAAATTGCATTGAAAATGTATTACCAACTTTATTCAAACTGATTGTTAATTGAATTTACTATTTTAAATATAAATTTCATTATTCTGCCAATGTGATGACAAAATATATACAATAAGTGGATAAAATACTGAAATATTGAATTAGTTTCGGTAATTCCCGACAAAGGTATAATCTTGTAAGAACGTGTTGAACAAAGCAATAGTTATTTATCTACAATAATCATTTGACCCAATTAAAAAATGTATCCCAAGCTTGAATTAAAAATATCAATAAACTATGATTTGAATTATCAAAAGTTACGTAAATGTACAAATTAAATTATATAACTTTATAGAAAAAAAGAAAAAGAAAAAATTATATGAAAAATTGAATGTTACAAATCTTCAAATGCGTGCAATAGCACACCTCATTCATACTTTTGTCTATTCAGTATAGTACAAAAAATAAAAAATATACAAAATTCACATTGTATTACACAAATTCATCATTAACTCGTAAATTAAGGAAAATTTTTAGAAAAAATCCGTCTACGATGATTTTTACCTTGGATTGAAATCCTGAAACAGTGTTTGCAGATTCATGATTATCAAAACGGTGGTTCTATAGGCCAACTTGTAAATCCTCGTGGTGACCACCTCGTGCACATATATTCCGCTGAAAATCGTTTCATTTACCAAAGAAATTTATCACGGAGTGAGGAGGAACGGTGGGTTCTGCATTTGCGTTTGTCGGGGGAAAAAAAATAAGACCCACCGCCTTGCATGCAAGAATTCGAATTGCACTGAAATTAGCTGGAGGCCAACAGCTGTCGACATTCGATATATCAACTAAAACTCAAAGTTCAGCAGAAAACTTCGTGTGTCTAAATATATATAATATATATAATATTTAATATTATATATATAAGTATATATAATTATGTATTTACAGTCTCCAATATTCCAATGCATTTATTCGAAATAAAATTTCTTCAGATAATTCAGAAACTATAAGAGAAACAACTTTTTATTTTAATATGCGAATTAATATGCATCAAATAAACTAACAAATACATTATATTATTATTATTGTACATTATATTATATTATTAATAAATTGTACATTATATAGGAGTATTTTCTTTGCAGCAAAGTATTCTTTCCTTTCAAATTTATTGTTGCTTATGTGCGCATGTATTTTAAAAGTTAATATTGAAATATCTAGGTAGTAATTGATAAATTCATATGTATTATCTCTGATATTTGTTTATTGTGCGATTCGTTAATTCGAAAATTTCGAAAAATTAAGAATTCACACATATATAACAATAAAACATCATATGTTATTATTTGAAAAGTTTTATTCAAAATAGAAGTGAATAAACATTTCAACCAATCGTCGATGAACTATAGAGCGCTCTATCTGTTTCCGCTTTAAGGGAACGTGGTTCTTTCAGTGTACAACTTCAACGATGGCGGTCGGTAAAAATAAGGGGCTCTCAAAAGGAGGCAAAAAAGGTGTTAAAAAGAAGATGTAAGTAAATTATAATATTCTCCCGATGTATTTTAGGTACTTCTTATGTACGAAATATAATTTCTAGTTCAGTATTGCCAAAGATGCTTTGTATTGAAACAGATTCTATGCATCTGACATTCGAACGTATGCATCCATTTTACGTTTAATATTTTGATTTTATCATTATTCATTTATTTATGTCTTTATTTATAATCTCGAAGCATTATATGCTTTATCTAGATATTTTTAATCGATATAATTTTTAATTTTTAATTTTTAATTAAAAAATTTATACCTCAATAACCTCATTTTAGTAACTTGTTTTTAAATAATGTTATATTAACCCGAGATTACCCACCTGGGGGTCTAGTGCAGATACATCCCAGCATTAGACCCACACGTGGGTAATCCCGGGTTAATTGAATTGTGGTAAACTTGATGCTTGATAAATTAAATTGAATTTTAAGTTGTAGTTTTCAAGCATGATGAGACTCTTCATATTCATTTCAAAACTATGACCGACCTAATCTAATTTTTCTTCTATCACAGTGTTGATCCCTTCACCCGTAAGGATTGGTACGATGTTAAGGCACCATCTATGTTTACCAATCGTCATGTTGGCAAAACATTGGTCAACAGAACACAGGGAATAAGTAAGATACATTTTATTAATAAAAATGTTGCAACTCCAGCTCCATAGAAGTTTTATTGATACTTTATATGGCGTATTCTGTTGCATAAAAAAAAAGCAGATAGTTACCATGATATTATTCTCATAAAATGATAATATTAACTTTTACCACTGCTACATATTTATTGCTACAGCATTATACAGTGCATACACTGTTATTGTTTTTATTAATTTTACATTTATTATTTTACAGAGATAGCCTCTGAAGGTCTGAAATACAGAGTATTTGAGGTCTCTTTGGCAGATCTGCAAAATGACGGAGATGCAGAAAGATCCTTCCGTAAATTTAGGTTGATTGCTGAAGATGTTCAACATCGTAATGTGTTGACCAATTTCCATGGCATGGACCTAACTACGGATAAATTGAGATCCATGGTTAAAAAATGGCAAACCTTGATAGAAGCTAATGTTGATGTAAAAACTACTGACGGCTATCTCCTCAGAGTTTTCTGCATTGGTTTTACTAATAAAGATCAATTGAGCACCAGAAAAACGTGTTATGCCCAACATGCACAGGTTAGTGTAGCTAATATCTGTAATGTGTGGCTAATATCTTTTAATATTTGCAATTTAAAGTGCATGAAAGTGATATACACACTTTTGTGTTTCACGATATTGCATATAGTAATAAGCACTTCCTTACCACACTATTTTTGTATTAGAAAGTAGTGATATTGTATGTTGCAACATTTTTAATTAAAATATGCAAGTTATGAATTTATTATTCATCTATAATTACTTATGTATACATGTATTTTTATGTTTAGGTCAAAAAAATCAGACAAAAAATGGTAGATACAATTACAAATGATGTTACAAAGAGTGATTTAAAGGGCGTGGTCAGTAAGCTCTTACCAGATGCAACTGCCAAAGACATCGAAAAAGCTTCACAAGGAATTTATCCACTACATGATGTCTATATTCGGAAGGTATATAAGCAAAAATGATAATTTCTATAAGTTTAATCAATAATCTGAACCGAAACAACAACGTTACACTGTATTGCAGGTTAAAGTATTAAAAAAGCCACGTTTTGAATTGAGCAAACTCCTGGAGCTCCATGGTGATGGTGCTGCTAGCAAAAGTGAAGAAGTAGGTGAAAGTGGTTCAAAGGTTGACAGACCAGAAGGTTATGAACCACCTGTACAGGAATCTGTTTAAGGGAGTAATTCTTTTTATGTATAAATAAAATCCACTTTCTAGTGAGAATACGGTTCTTTATTTTATTCTTTTTATTTACCCTTAAATTACATTGAAAAAAAATGAAGATATTGATATTAATATAAAATTCAACGAAGTTATTTATAAATATTTATTGAAAAAATAATTCATGCTTTATTTGGCCATATTAATATTTAAGGTACTAAAAACATTAAAAATAGATAATGTCAATGATTAGTACTACGAATTCCGAGTAACGAATAACCAACTTCCTATTAACAACGCTCTGAAACTTTCACTCCAAGATGCCAATATATAGATTAGTAATACGAAAAAGAGTATCTTAGTAATTACATCAACCCAATACATGCTGCAACAAAAGTATAAAAATTCATTAAAATTAAACTTCAGAGAATCAATGCGTAAATAGATCTTACATTCTCAAGTGTCTTCGAGCAGCTGGCAAAGTTTCTGGTGGTTCATTGAGAATGTAAATTCTTGCCGCTCGTATACATGATTCAAAATATGCATCTATATCCATGTCTTCCCCGTGTAGTTGATATTTCTTGTATTCCACAGGATTAAATTTACTTCTTACTTCGTATATATTTGCGTTTTCAAAGTCCCATTGATTGTTGGCATAATACTCAAATACTTCAAAACCTTTTTGTATTCGGCGTTGTACACGACACATACTGTTTATAGTAAGAGTTTTATATCCTTTAATATCGTCAAAGTGTTTTGATTTGGAAATGACTGAATATTTATAATTTAATAGTTGCAATACTTACATTGGTTTGTAGCCTGCAAGGAAAATAAGTCCATCTATAAAGTAGGCAGGTATCATGTGGAAAAGTATAACGCATATATTATGTATGAGCCTTGATTTTTTCATGCTACCACCTGGATACCAAACAACTCCATTTAAAGGTACCTTTTCTGTTATTTTTCGACCTCTAGCGATGATCTCAGCCCATGATACCTAAAATTTTCATATTGAAACGTTAAATTGTTAGTCACATTTGTTATTCAGAATTATTATTCAGTTGCTTTTATTAAAATATAATACACCTTAAATTCGCTACTGCTTGTAAGATTGTAAACTCTTTTTTCATGATCCTCGCAATATATAAAATTCCAAGAACTGGCAAGAATTGCATTTACTGCAATATCAACAGGAAGATAATCTGCATAACCACTCTCATTACAATACATTGTTCGAATAACACCTTTACCAGCACCAATTAAAAGTCCCGTTGGACCATTGATATTATCTGTCCAACCTGGTATTGGCTCTTTCCATATAGGAATAACTATGCTTGGTCTAAGAGGTAAAATAATTCTTTGTGATTAAAAATATTTTGTTCTCTGCAATACTTATGCGTTTATTTATACCTTAATATAATTGCTGGAATATGAGGCATTGCTTCTTCAACCAGGCTTTCTGACAAAGCTTTAGTAAAAGCATATGTATTGGGAAGGTGTCCTAGAATTTTGTCTGTCATAGCTTCAACTACATCATCATCCATCCATTCCACACATTTAATTATTTTATGAGGATCTGCAGGTGGTGCGTATGGTTTCTCTCCTAAAACCTAAAAAAAAAAAATCATATGTTACATAAAATACATATAATCATAAGTAATGTAATTAAATTTGTATTACCTTTTCTTCAAGGTGACAATATGCTGTACTAATGTGAGCAAATAATTTTAAATGCTTCATCTCTTTCGCTAATTCCAACATTTGCTTTGTACCACGCGTATTCAATAATACTGCTTTCTTCAGTAATTCATCAAATCTGTAACAATTCAGTGATCAAATTCAACATTATTTTCAAGTTATTTATATGTAATTCCGATACATTTCATTACTACTACCGTACTGTGGCAGCTGCATGATACACGATGTTTATCTTTTCACAAAGCATCTTTCTATCTTCTGAGGAAATCCCAAGTCCAGGTATCGATACATCTCCATTTATTACAGTTACTGATTTTTTAAGTGCCTCTGTTCCCCGTTGTTTTTTAACTTTTTCAAAAAGCTGAAATAAATAATTGTTAAATTATATGTAATTAAAAGTGTAACATCAATGGATTCATTTTAACTTTCGAATCCAATTTAGTATTCTATCTATTGGATAGTATTTAATAAAAAAATTAATTCCAACGAAAATTTTTTGATACTATTAATCACATATATTTTCGCCATAAGAATTTCATCTGTAATCAATTTCTCGGTAGCTAGTCGATATAATTTATGACCAAATTCTTCAGCTGTGTGGGATAGAGATGGAGTGTTACATGTACGAATGTTAGAAGGGGATACAGAGGCTAGCAATACGAAAGATGTGATATAACAGATGGGACATATGAGAAATAACTTTCACCAGGTATAAGATACGATAATAATGATAGTAACAACTACCTTTACTACCTTCTTCTCCATGCTACGAATCCTTGACCCAGTTTCTGGGATTTTTATCTCGTAATCTGGCTATAACTACCGTATCGTGAATTTTGTTCCTGATGTCCAAATTGTCCCAAAAAAATTTCAGTGATTCAAGTTACAATCATTGTGGATAATGAATCAATGTTTCGAAATTTCGTAGGAAATGAAAATGACTTGATGAATAACGAGTAACTTTTTTTTGTAAACATGACATAAACTATACGCCACGCTAAGTACAATATTTCTCGTTTTGTCGATTATTACGTCTCTTTTCCTCTGAGTTATTTGCAATTATTTTGCAATACCACATGAAATTTATTGATTCTTGATAATTATGAACGAAAGAAGAAATTCCTCTTTCTGGGGAAAATTTATAGAACAATAATGATCTGAGAAATGACAAATAAATTTAATGTCACGTAATACTGTAATGGAGATAGTTGAGGAAGATTTAAAGATCATGTCAATCATCTTAGCTTTCTATGAGTGAAATACATATCCGTATAGCCAATCATGTGTAATTTGTGTCTACGTAATGTCTTTTCCTTTTCTTGTTTAATACCTTTTTACTTAACAAAAATTGTACAAATTTTGTAATACCTTGACATTTCGTTATTTATAAGTTGTGTTTGAGAAACCAATTTTTTTTTAATGAAAATGCGTACATCTAGATATCTTTTATTGCACAATTTGTTCGTAGCATTTGCATAATTAAACTTTCTCTAAATATATTTGACCCGACATATAAGATATGTGTCGCAACAAGTATTCGCATTAGATATATTCGCAACATGCATTAATAAAACAATTATAATAGTTCTTAGCAAGAAATGATGTAAAAATGAATTTCTACAGAATTGTAGTAATATTTACATTCGTGTATTTTTTCTCATCAGAAAATGCAGAAAATTAACTATTTGTTACCAAGAATTATGCCAGGAAGAATTCTTTTAAGCAAAAAATGGGTTACAGGAAACCTGTTTATATATATATATATATACACGTGTGGTTCAATTGCTATTTTTTCGAACTTAATATCGTCCTGTATAGTTAGATTTCTACATCCGTGCTGACATTTACTCTGTATGAAAATTGAACCAATTAAGGTTGAAAATTCTAACAAAGGATACTTGTTAAAAATATTTACCGCTGAGTTGAAGATTTCTTCTAAACGACGTTTCGGGTCCTTTTCCTTCTTCGTTCTGATTAACATGTAAATTTGTTCAGTGTTTGGTAGACATCTAAGAAATTTCTCGACGATGACTTTGCCGAGGAAACCAGTGCCACCGGTAATTAGGATGTTCTGTCCTTTGAAAGTTTCCGCTATTCTGTCAGGAATCTCTTCTTCCACTTTTGGTCCCGCCATTATCTCTTATTTATGATCACGTACCTCTACATATATGAAGAAAGAAGAGGAGAACTATGAAATTATAGATATTTGAAAGGAAATTTCTATACATTAATTTACGCTAAAAAAAAAAATATTGCGGCATTTAATCTTCCAATTAGAAAATTAGAAAATTATATTACATTGGAAGATTATATTACTATATTGCTATGTATTAGAAAATTATACATTACGTTGAATATTAAGTTGCGTTTGGGGGGAAACAATTTTCTACAGTAGATTCATGTTAAGAAATGGTAGAAATGAAAATACGACACGAATGATATATATCAGAAAAAAATAAATCAGGAGTTCGAGTGATCATCGTGTAATTTCTTTTTTATTCCGCATTCGCTTTCAAACTGAGATACGTTTATATTCATCTTTATTTCATGTAATTATTTCATGTAAGCCCGAAAAATTTTAAGCTCGAAGAAATTTTTCAGAAAGACATCAGAAAATGGAATGGACACTGAGATTCGTCCTTGAAAGTTGCATCAGTTAATTTTAAATTCGCAATAACTTAGTCACGTGACGTATTATATAGAGCAAATGGCCGAGACAACAATTTAAATTCGACCTGTGCATGGTGATGGCGAGATAATAATTACTGTAATAATTTGTGATAAGGCCGGATACATACGACTAGAAACGATTAAAAACGTTTTTGTAAACTTCTCCGACTTCTGCCTACGTGACGTGATTACATTTTTTTGGACATTTCCGTTCACGCATCACATTTTCAATTTAATTTATTGACTTAAGTTGAAGAAGAAGAACTTTCTGGTAAAAACTATCAGATATTTGCATATTTATCGTAGGCATATTAACTTCTTTTCAGAAAGCACCATAATTACAAAATATTAAGGTTAACGATTAATTATAAAATTGAGGTTAATTTCCGAAGTGATTGATGCAACAAATTTTTTTCAGAGTGAATTCTACACAAAAGAAAGGAAATTACTATTATGCAAATGTTTCAAGGATATTGCAGTGGTTTTTACGACAATATAAACACGTAACAACGTTAACAAAAAAAAATGCAAACGTATCTTGAGTAAATTACTTCGTAGGAAAGAATTACAGTAAAAGAAAAAACGATAAACGTGTCGTTTCTTTCGTTAAAAATTCTTTTAACTCCTATTTTGTTGACCTTCGAAAAATGTTTCACAGTAAAAACTCGAGAGTTTCTATTTTTTTTTTAAATTTTAGATTGTTATTTTTACATAATTGATGAAATTATACTGATTAAAAAATATATAGAATGTGCTACATTACTTGAATTTTTTGAAATATTTTTTGATTCATTTTGTACCATTTCTGGCTGTAATTCAACATTCCGTTCAAATTTTTATACGTTTTGCATACTAAACATTCCATATTAGTTAGTTATTTCCTATTTAATAATTAAAAAGACAATTAATACTTTATATTGAATAATTTCTGCAAGGTATGCATCATTTGATAATTGTCAATTCAGTAAAAAAATTTTCAATATCAGGTACTCAATATTCAGTATTCAATATTTGGTATTTTGTTTTTTATATTCGATACTTAATACTGTGTATCAAAGTACAAAATATTTAATGTTAGATATTAAATATTCGGTACTGAGTGTTCAATATTAAATACGCAGTTTTTGATCAGTCAATCTATAGAACATAAATTTATGCGTGAGTTTAAAATCACACAATACATACGCGTTGAATCATTCTAAATCTCGGTTACTATTACGTCTGAGTATTGCTTCACTTAGAAAGTTTGGCATTCGTCGGTTTTTAGTGATTAGATTTAAAAAAAAAAGAAAATTATATTCACCTATTTTTAATCATTTAACATTTATTTTCAGAAAGCAAAGATTTACTTCTAACAAACTTGACTTATTACAAAATGCATGGCGAAACGATTTAATAATTTTCCAAATATAAATGTAACTAATCATTAATTGAAACGTCATATGAAATATAGAGCAGAATGAAGTGTATAAGAATGCTTCGTTTAACATTTAAATAAACGTCAAAATAATAAGATAAAATCCTAATGTATAAAAATAATAAACTTTTATGAATTGTTATACACTGACTCAAAAAACATATTCTGATCGTAAAAGTATATCATTTTAAAGAAAAGATCGAAACGATAAACGAAAATAAGAGAATGATTGCGACGTGGAGTACTTACTTCCAAAAAGAAAATTCGGCCTTATCCGAAATACGAATGGTCAAGAGTGAACAATTGGAGAACAGAACAGAATGGAACGAAAGCACGGTCGTTTTAAGAGTGACCGGCTATAGTCGATCGGTGTTACCTCGACGGTGAGCTCGGTGTGGACTGAGAAAGCATAATGTTGGCCCAATATTCTTCTGGACGATGATCGATGCAGCCTCGTATTCACCTTTGTCTCTTTCTTATCCCCCACCTTTATTTAAAAGAGCAGCTCTATCTTATTCAACTTCAAATCACGTTCTATATGCTCTATCATATAAACATAAATTGAATATAAATTGAGAAGCTTTTTGAAAAAAAGGATCAAGATAAAACGTGTCTTTGCTCTAGTTTTTTTATTAAATATGGTTAAAGAATGTTGTTCTTTTGTGAAAGAGCAAAAAAATTTGATTAGAAATGAGATATATTTTTAGCACAATTATGTATATTTATATTAGACAAATATACTTCGTATTTGTATATCATACTTATAATGATTATGAATAATTAGACTATAATTTGTATATTTACTTATTGATTCTTTATTCAGGAAATTTCTCAATTATGTTGTATGCAGATTGGTCCGCCTCATTTAAAGTATTAATTTATAAACGTAAAGTATAAACTTTTAATATTTGCCATCATATTTGCATTAGTACTCATAATTTGGTCGTCACATAGAAACGAATATGAAATACTTTTCACAATTAATCATATAATATAAAAGAGTAAATATAAGAGGTAAGTTTACCATTAACAATTTATTTCGAGCATGTGTCAATTTCAATTTTTTTTATATTTTATATAGTGTTTTATACATGAGACTTCTTATTGAAGAAAGGAGGGAATATTAGCTTTGGAATTTTGAAATTACAGAGAGTATTGTTTGCGACGCGTGGACCAACACATAAGCCCAATTGTTATATATCCACGTGCGCAGAAGGCTTGTTAAATCCTTTATTACGTAACTCGTAGAACAAGATTATATCTTCTAACTTGATATTCGTCATCTCTAATTTCAACACAGGTAATAAATACATATACCTGTTCTTTCAAATATATGTAAAAAAGCAACAGAAAGTTTGGAAAAATGTATGACTCATACTGTTTTTGTAGATTACATATTTATTTAATACTTTCATAAGTTGCGTATATTCAAATTTATTTGTATTTATGCAATAATACGATTATATTTGAAAATTCAAATAGATAACATTTAATTCATTATTAATAGATAATATTTAATTTATTTAAAGATAATTTTTTACTTTCGTGGTACAATTATTACATTTATAATTTACTATATTTGCATTAAAGTTTATTTCTTAAATTTTTATTCAGCTTTTTCATTTTAATGGTAGAATGCGTTTATGCTATTCAGAGTACTTAAAAGAGATAGATCTTAAAAGAGTAACTAGGTCCTTAAATATTTTTCATGTCAATAATTTATGCATTAATTGGAACATTTTTTTTTTATACAACAAAAAAGAAGGATCCGATTATTAGATATTGACGATGTTTCGAAATTACTTGAAAATTAGTAGGACAGCAAGAGGAATTTCATTAATAATAACTGAGAATTGTCTATAAATAGCAGAGGAAAAGTTTTTATTGTATGCTCTCCTTAGTGTTATATCGATTCTACACCTCCTAATGTTAAGTAATAATTTTTTTCATATATGCAAAATGTTTTCGATGCAAAAATTAAGTTCGATGTTATAATGTACTGTTTACAGGTAATACGAAATGCTACATAATTTGTTACGCAATTTTCTGAGACAGAGTGACCTCGATCGAGAAAATAGTAGACAGTTCGCTATACCTCTTCTTACAAATGATGGATTAAATTTATCATAAAATTTCCAATAAAATATCGTCTGGAATTGATGCAATTTTGCACTGGATTTAAAAAATTTGGAGCATGTTATTCAGCACCAGAACTGTCAGATCAGTTAAAATTACTAATTGAAATTAAAACATGATATAATATATACTTATTTATTTCTTTTCGTTATATTATGTCAATGTCAATTAGGTATAATATAAACATGATAAAAGGATAATCCAAAGATAATGCAAAGATAACTTAAATATTATTATGTAAATAATCAGACACTAGATATTATTATGTAAATAATCAGACACTATCATTTTAATGTTGTAATGATAAAATTTTAGAAAAGCGAGATTTTTACGAAAAATGTCTCAACAGAAAGTAAAAGTGTGCACGTGTGAGGAATGACGCGGAGCGAAAGCGAATGTACATACACGAATCTTTGTTCAAAAAGAAACGCGTAGACACACCTGTAGCGGTAGTTGAAGAGTGAGAGTCGTAGCGAAAAAGTGAGAGTGGAAATGAGAATGGTGGCAGAGAGAAGGGGAAGAAGGAACGCGCGTGCTCGAACGAATACGAAAGCGGACAAGTTTGGGATTTCCACATCCTTCGGGTATCACCGAAGTATCTGTTCGCAGAATGCTTCATTATTTTTCGTTTAGTCTTATTTTTCGTCAGTCACTGTTTCCTGCTGATTCCCAATTCATCGTAAAAATAACTCATATTTATCGACTAATATCGATAAATATATATATTAGTCGTTATTTTTCAAAAATAACTCATATTTATCAACTGGTATCGATAAATATGTATATTAGTTGTCATTTTTATCAAGTCTGTTTCATTGTTGTCCTTTTCACATTCATTTTCTTAATTTTTTTAAGCTGTTTTAACTGTGTTTTATCTCAATAGTCTTATTAATCGCAGAATTGGTAGTTAATGAAAATGAATCAGTTCCCAATTGAGTTTTAATTCTTGAAATTATTTGAAAAATGAAATTATAAATGGAAGATTCTTAATATTACTATATGAAAAAGTTTGGAAATTGATGGGATAATATTTTATTGAATATTGAATATTTATTGTGTAGAAACAGAAAGTGGATTTACAAAATGTCGCATATTTGGATATTCTGTAAATTATGAACATTTTTCTATTTTCTATATTCTTTCTGATCTTTGTTCAGAAAGTTTGTTAGTATTTGTAATTTAAGCAGTAAGTCTTATGTAACTTTGTAAACTTGTCAGGTAATTTCGTTCCTTATATAACACATACAAACATATAATGAACATTGTTACCATCAATTACTGTTTTATTAATATCTAAAATGTTTATTGAGATGGATAGTGAATTTTTATAAACACAAATCATGAAATATTCCAAGATATTTTCAGAATAAAATCGATATATTTTTATTATATATATAATTTCAAAAACTACTCAAAAAATACAATTTTTTGAAAAAGAAAAGGAAAACAGAAATTGAAATAGAATCTAGTATTTGTTAAGAATATTTTTTTTAGGTTAGGGAAATATTACGCGTATTACTGTTATTGACATTATTAGCGCTTCACGAGTAAAGCGTATATTTTGTAAAGAAATGGAAATTTCTTTTTTCAATTTTAAATATATTGCTTAAAATGTTTGCGTGGCAAAGAGGGATATTTCACGGAAGTGATTGCGCGCGCTCACGTATTGACGAGAGAGCGCGAATTTCGAAATTTTCAAATGTCAGCACGCGATCAGTTCGTCTAAAAAGATTTGTAAATCTCGACGTTTTCGCTATTTAAACTTTCTTTTATATTCTCTTCTCATTCTTTACTCTAACAATAAGTATTACATAATAACAGGAAACATTATATAATCATTTCAATGAAAAAGAGAAAATATTAAAAAATTAACGCCCAAAAACTGATTTGGAAACAGAACATTTTTATTGATTTTATTTAAGTATATTAGAATCAAATTCCTATAAACTAATGTAACAAGTATTACTAATTATGAAAACAGCTTTAATTAAAATATTTAAAAAACAGGTGTATCATTTATAGTATATTACAATAAGTACTTTGAAAAAATTGCAATTGCAAATGCTAACTATATAAGAGCTACACTATATTAAAAGATTATCATTCATTGTAAATGTTTGTAAATGTTTCTCGTTTTATCAACAATAAGAAATAAAATTAAACAAGTATTATCTGATTGTCAAGAAATTACTTTGGAACATTTAATTTACAGAAAATCTAAATTTCGTTAATTTCAATAACGGTTGCAATTCGTTCCTTGAATGGATTTATCCACGAATAAATAAACCAAACGAAGAAAATCGTGAGGCTGATCTTAACGAACCAATCGGCGAAATATAGATACCAAAGAACTTTCCGTGCGCGAGGTATAGTAGAAAGATCATCTTTCAAACAGTACAATCTAGTACCTAATATATAATTTAATAGATAATCGTCCCAGACTATTGCCTTTGTATCCATAAAGAATTCTTCTTTGTCGGAGGGATTGAATTCAGCTTGCAATTTCTTCATACGGTCGTTTCTAAAAGCAAAAAAATTAAATTATTTCTATTGTTATCGTTATAATTATTATATTAATTTTGTTATGTTATTATCATTTTATGAGAATGTTTCTGCATAATTACCGAAACTCCCATCGTTTGGTAGTGTAATATTGTATTAGATCAATGCCAATATTAACTTTGTTATGCACTTTTACTAAAAACGGTTTGTTCCCTGTTAGAAAAACAAGGAGGTCTATAAACAACGCAGGTATGTAGTGAAACAGGATTACACGCAACCAGTGAAACCATCTTAATGTAGTGATACTTCCACCTGGATACCAAAGTAGACCTGGAGCAAAATTAGAAACAAAACAAATGAAAATATATTTTAGTTGGAAATAGATAGATTATTTCAAACAACATGTACAATACTCAAATCATTCACCTGTAAATGGATACATTAAAGTATATTTCTTGCCAGTATCTACAGCATAACCCCAAGAAATTGGGTTTTCAGTATCATTGGTAACATTCATAAATATTGGTTTCTCAGGATCTTCTCTCCCTACTTTCCATGCTAGTGCAATAATTGTATTAATTGCCATGTCACAGGGAATTATGTTTATTTCGTACTTGTAATTACAGAGCACCGTTCGAATTACACCTTTTCCAGCACCTACCATTAAAGCTGTTGGTCCACTAAAGCTATCTATCCAACCAGGTTTTGGTTCTTTCCATGATGCCATCACTAAAATTAAAAATTAACAATATTTATTTTGATATCATACGAAGAACATGGTAAGTTACATTTCCTATTTTTTTTTTTTTATGGAAGAGAGCAGTAAGAAGTTTGTCCAGGCATTTATTTGATTAAGAAAAAGTTATATTTACCTATGGAAGGTCTTACAACGCCTGCAGGCAGGCCACATTTCTGCACTAAACTTTCAGCGAGTGCCTTGCTAAAGGCGTAGGTGTTCGGTAATCCTCTTAATAATTTCGGTGTCAGTGCTCGTAAAACATTATCCGGTGTGTTGTTTATCATTTTTATGATTTCTTCGGGTTCTATATCGCTCTGATAATACCTCTCCTCGAGCACTGTTTCATCACAATGACAGTACGAAGTAGAAACATGAATGAAGGACTTTAAATGAGGTAGCTACAAATAATGGATCTTTAGGTTTCACTCGTCAGAAATTCAAAAGATATTAAAATAGATTAAAACCTATATCTGTTATAATGCATATAGTGAAAGTAAAAGTGATCTATTATAAAAAGAAAGTCAGAAGTTCAATCTACTTTAGTTTAGTTAATAATCGTTCTATCTATAAAACTAAGAATTATTATATATTAATGGTATTGTGTTTGAATCGTTAATAAACGTTTACCTGTTTTGCAAGATTTATGACATTTCTGGTACCCAGTGTATTTATCGTTACCGCCTCCTTGAGTGTCAAGTCGAACTTGATATTTGCTGCCGCGTGAAGAACAACGGAAACTTTGTCCATTAGTTTTTGCTTATCGTTGGACGATAAAGCAAGATCGTCGCAAGTTGTGTCACCTTCTACTAATACAATCTTCTTTATTCTCTCAGGATGCTTTTCCTTAATCATTTTAAGCGGATTTTCCTAGAATATTAATTGAAAATTAATTCATAATTAATATTTCATCATAGATTCACATGATAGACTAATGTGAATCATTAATTATTGCAACAGAAACTTTTTAATCACTCAAAGGAAATAACAAAACAATTAGGTCGTGAATGGAAAGATTTGCGTTCACGTGCAATTATATTTTTCTTTTTTTAGTTTCAGAAGTTTTCTAGGACACTTTAAAAACATATAGAGTAAAATTACTACATGGCACAAGCTCAATCGCCCCTTTCACTTTCGTTTGCACGTATTAAGAATGCTACTTATTGAATCATTAATAGAACTGTGTAAGTAATTTTTGTGTCATCGTTGCACAATGTTAACCAGAGCCAGAGAACAGTATATGTTCAAGAACAGCATATAACAGTACACGTAATATGACAATACAAATTTATGGTTTTATTAATTACTAAAATCTATTTTAGATTTAGAATTTAATTGTCCTATATTATTTATAATCAATAATTTTGAAGAGGATTTTTAATGGTAATGTATGATGCAAGAAGCAACTTAGATTGTTGATTACAGAGATTAGATTTAAACATCAAGAGTAGAGGCTGTTTTTAAATGATATCTGCGTAATCTCTGTGTAATTACTTGACAAAACAATGTGTAAGACCATTATAATGATTTATAATTGACAAACGATTTAATTACAAGGTGAATGCCAATTTTTATTGGTCGTTGGTTTTCCTTTCTCACTTAGTAGCAACATTACTCACATGCATCTAAGTATGGTGCATACACTACGACTACAGATGTCGTAAATAACATTGCAAAGTCATTGAGAAATACTTTCAAATGTTTGAAACATTTTGAAATGGAACGTCGCATACTTTCAGATGCAGGTCAATCTGTTCAGAAATTCATAAGTCGTTTCTTCATAAAGAAATCTTGATTACGTGAAGGTATATATTTTCTTAATTACCAATACACGTGTATTATTGATTATCGATTAAAATTCCACCAATCTCTGAAATTTCATCAACACTTTAGAATTGCTTCAAAACGGCAGTTCAGCGTTGCCTTGTGAAATTTTCATATTCTGTGAACAGCACTACAGATCTATCAGATCCGAAAGCTTCACAGTTTGCCTCTTTCTTTTCTTTTTTTTTCTTTTTTTGACCTTATCGATGCCTAAAATTCATACAGATGATTTCCTGGTTACTTTCAGACGCACCGTTAAACGCATCGTACCTGCATCATGAGCTTCAACCTTGACTGAGCATCGACGTCTCTCTTCTTCCTGATCAAGACGAAGATATTGCCAAGGTCGTTGCAACTAAGCAACAGCTTATAAATTAGAACCTTCCCCATGAATCCAGAGCCGCCTGTAATGAAGACGTTTCGGCCTTGGAACCATTCGGGAATCGATGGTACGTCTGATGCCATTTTCAAAAACGCTGCGCAACGAAAGAAATGACAATGAAACGAAGAAGGAAAAACGATTGGATAAGATTAATCGTGTTATTTTTCTGCTTCTTGAGAGAAAGAGAAAGAGAGAGAGGAAGATTTAATTTATTTTTAAATATTAAAATTAATGACATTTATGACATTTTCTTCTTCAAACGAGTAACATAACAAAATACAACAGTAGCTTAAATCTGATTGCAGTTATAAATTAGTCTTGATAATCTACAAACGAAATAATATAATACTCAAAATTGGAAACTCTGCCTGGGAAGGATTAACGTTATAAAATGTGTATTTGAGAATTGGGACACGAAAGCATCTTTTACAGCAATGATAAAAATTACTCAAGGCATTCGCCACATCTCGTTTGCAATTCTTCGACGAGAAAACTATAAAATTTTCCTCGTTGGTCATTTGCATATATATTTATTCGCATTTCTATAATATTTGCAAATAGTTCGTAGAAAAAAAAAATAATTAAAACCGGCTGTGAGGTAAACTCCTGAGAACGTTCATGATTCGGAGGAAAAAATCCCGATTATCTTTCATAATCCTCGCCATTCTATTCAAATTTTCCAAAGATCAATAGAGATCTTACGAAACCATATGTATTAGGAAAATGTTGTAACTACTATAGCCGATAATTTATTCCTTTCAACAAGAAAAAGAATGCGTAATATTGATAAAATTAGAATGCAAATTTAATCGATTTTATTAAGAGATTTATCACATCCGTGTCTATCAATGTGTCGCTGTGAAACTCTGTATTGTACGAATTTCATTTATTCGAGCCAAATTTCAATCCAATTGAACTGGTTGAATCCACTTATTTCACTCTTTCTACGTGAACGAAAAATTTCTGATAAAAGGAATAATTAAAGAAGAGGGAAGAATTGTATGAATTCAAATTATAAAAACTATTTGTTCGCATGAACTTGTACGAACAAATTCATATAGACTGAGTTTGACAGTGATGCATCATTATTACATTCGAGAAGAGTACATTGTTCTTTTGAAGAAACTAATGCTTTCGAAACAAGGCTATGTAAACCACCAACCAAGCCATTACTATTCACGAACAATTTACGAGCATTGTTATATATTCGCAATGTGTTGCCAGTATTTCTCTGAAATCTTGCTTGCTATACTGTCCGTGCACGGAATATCATTGAAGATAACAAAGGCCGGTTAGTTTTCGAATTTACTGTATCATTGATTTCATATTACATCGTCACTCACATCAGTTTCTTACAATCTTACACTCTGAACTTCCTTTACTTCCTCTGCTACTTATCAAGATTAAAGATAAGAGTTCTTCATCTAGCACTAGATCATTTCTTACGTTTCAGTAGTGGCAGTCAGTTGTTGATGATGAGCACTTGCAGTTTTATAAGTAGATGCTTGCAATTAATTGCAAACATCTACTTTTATTAAGTAGATGTTTGCAATTAATTTGTATTTACGTTTAAATTGCCAGGCGTATACATATATACACGGTTCAGACACGTGTGGCAATTTGCAAAGCAAACCCATTGACTGTGCTTTAAAGTCAAAATGAACTCTGGTTGATGAATTATTCATGTCGCAAGCGTTTCCTGTTTCTTTTCTTCCTTTTCGGATTCACTGGATTCTCTAGACACTGGTTAGAAAATATTTAACGAGACACGAGTTCAAGAGGAAATTTATAGCTATAATGTAAAGTGGTAAAGAAAAACTCCCGATAAATTATGAAACAACTAATTAATGATTAGACTTTATCCGATGCATTCCATGCTGAATAACGTTTAAAATTAATTGTAAGTAATATTCGTTGACCAAATACTTTCTCTCATGCAATTGTCATTTGTGGTCATCGTTGTCATTTCCTTTCCTTGCCTAGCTTCTTTTTGACAATCACTTTTATTTAATCTTCGTATTCAAATTTATAATTAATATCTTAATAATAATTTAACACAAATTTTATTATTATCCTATAATTACTACTGCTATTATTACTATTACTATTATATTATAATTTATAAAATTTTTTAATCATTTATAATTAATAATTTTATTATTATTATTATTATTGATTAAAATTTCGTTTCTTTTCTCACAAAGTTGCAACAGTTTAAAATCTCAAATAACAAAAAACTTGATCGAAAACTGTTTGCTTTTTGAAATAGCAAAACGACCTTATATTTTCAATTTGCCTACAGTAAATTTACTTTTAATAATGTTCTGATAATACACATGATAATAATACATAATAACCAATGATGCGTCTATTATTAGTTTGAATCATTAGTACATTACTGAAATAATAATACTATTTATTGGCATTCCATTTATTTAACTATCATACGATAGTTTTAAACATATTATACGTGTTATACAAGTGTTATATATTAAATATATTAAATATATTTAATATATTAAACATATTATACTATTTAAATATATTTAAATATACTAAACATATTATACTATTTAAATATTTTTAAATATATTAAACATATTATACTATACTTTTGATAAAGTGTTTATATGTCCATATTTGTGACATGTTTCTCTTATTATTATTCACTCTTATTTTATTATTTTCCATTAAAAAATCCCTAGTAAGAATTTATTCTATGAACCATATATTTTATTCGATTATACTTAAAAGCATATTTTTTTCTTTTGTTTCAGAATTGAGAAATAATCTTTAGAGAAGATTTATAGCATGCCATCCTTTTTTCATTTTTGTGGTCACTCTAATTGTGACGCGAAAACGATGTCAGATCGCATAAAAATGTCAATTAGTATCAATGAATTAATGAATTAATACTGACAATCTCGCCTACAGCATGACCCGACCTATTATAAACATATAATTTATTCCTCAGGGCTTGTGAAACACTGGCACACACCTGCAAATATTTGTACTGACATTAAATATTAAATAATTTCTTTATTTTATGACGTGTATGTCGACTTTTTATAATCTTTCTGGTCGTGATGCAAGAACAAGAAGGAATTTCTTGTATGCAAGACCGCAGCATTGATTCTCAATCATTGCAAACTTCACTTTAACGACTATGATTCCCACTTAGGTATTAGCTCTAAAAAGTAAAAGTACTTACGTCATTAAAACATTCAGATATTCTTTTTTCTCTGATTTTTGACTCTGATTTTTACATGTTGAATTTTACTCAATGCTCGTAATGTGATTTATCAAATTGAACTCATATCAGATCATAAATTATGTAATGGCGCACGTGCTAATTATACGGCTGAATTTATTGGATTAATTTAACTCGACGAAGAAGAATTTTTATTAGATCTTGACTAATTGTCTAATTGTCAATTAAAGTATCGTTCATTCAATAATCTAATACTAAAAACATCTTACATCGATGTCCTATCCATAAAATTAATATCGATGGTGTCAAAAAAAAAAAAAAAAATTATTAGATATTTATTATTTGTAAATCTATTTTTACAACACTGAAACAATCAATCGTATACCTCAATCACACCTTTCATATATTAATATACAATTATGTCATGAAAACAAAATAACAGATGTATGATTATATTTTGATCTCAGTAGAAGACAATATTAATTCTGTCAAAAACATCTATACGTTTTTAATAACTAAAGAGGCAACTTGTTAACAAAGAGGTAACTTCACTCTTCAGCAATTTATCAAATCAATTATAATTCAAAACGAATCAGAGTCACATTGCTTTTTGAAATTCTATGCTACAAATGTCCACTAAAATCCACTAGCAATGAATTCTTTTTCTCTCTCTCTCTCTCTCTCAATAAATATAATTTAAATTAATAAACTTAATTCTGTTGCAGGAAAAGAAGAGAATGAAGAAGTTACATGGTGTTAAATCGCTCCATTCTATACAAACTCAACGGATCTATACTCCCCCCGAGTCTATAATTTTCCAATCATTCCCCATTATTCTCTATACGTACTTTACTTAATGCACACCTTTTGTCCAATGCATATCTTTCATCAGTTATCACCCACTAATTTTCAATACGTACCGTAGTGTATCACAACGATGATTGATTGACACAGAAGATCTCGAGCATGCACAGCTTAAGAAACGCGACTTTCCACGGAAACTTTCGAAATCACCACGAGTGTACCAATAATATCCAAAAGAAGGGAGGAGACGATGAGAGTATACGAGAGAAGGAATTACGTGAATTAACGTAAATTAAATGGACCCGTGCGTAACAGCCAGAGCGGCGGCAAAGCTAAAGAATGAGAGGGACGACAGGTTCTGACAGAGTGGTGTGCACGTTCACTTGGTCTAGACTCGTCTGACTGGTATTTGTAGAATTGCACGCACTAAGAGACCGGTAACCCTTCGATTCATAACAAAGGTATCACTACTGCCGACCGATCGGTGTTCTCGCCGTCTAATTTCACCTTCGTGACTGGTCTTTATTGCTGCATGACTCGGCATTGGATGCTGAGGAAGTCATTGTTTTCCGCAGTCGAACTTTCAAGGTTCCACGGGAACTTACAGTCCTCGACCGAGCCATGAAGAAAGAAACCAAGCCATGACGAAGCAAGCAAGATTAGCAAAAAAGACGATACACATACCGGTCCTTGTAACCGGTGAAATTTTACTGTTTCTTTACACAACCAGAGAAGACTATCTCACTTCTAAATTCTAAGAAGGCATCTTACGACAAATTTCTTAAGAATTAAGAATCTTAAGAATCCTATTCTTAAAAGCAAACGTGTTGTGTTAGAGTGATTTTTTTAAAAATCTTTTTTTCCTTCTTTTTTTTTTTGTTAATTTATTTTAGCAAATTCCGTGCTTTTCAGCGTTGGCAAAACGTGGTCTTTTTTTATTGCTGTTTCTTTTTCCATTTGCTAAAATTGTGTAAAGTTTAAAATTATAATATTATGTATAAAATATGTGTTGATAAGCATTACTTATTTTATATGAAGACTTTATGTTATATTCAGAAAAATCATTGGTTTGGGAAATATTTTGTTGTTCTTTTCTTTCATGCGACAAACCTAATAACATAAATAAGTTAATAGAAATTAATCTTTTTTTTTTTTTACAGAAATGCTCATTGTCATCAATAAATCAATTGCTGCATTCAAAATTATATGATTCTATTTAAAAAAAAATCATTCATCTTCGTCACTTCACCTATAAAAATACTACATAATGTGCCCCTTGCAATCATTACAATATTTATATTATCAAATGAAACAGCGCGAAGTTTGAATTGCGCGCGTAAATTAACATTGGTTACCCACATACGTAGGTAAAACAGGTTGTGAATTTCAGGTGAAACAGGTTTCATTTTTTCTAGTTATAAACAAGGTACAGAATAGAATAGCATAAATTTTATTTTGGTCTGTGAAAAAACATATAAATTAAAATATTTATCATTGCAATAATTCAGAATGAAATTTAATGCTTTTTCGAGGCTCATGTTTCGGGGGACCCCCTCATCATTTTCATGTCACATTCTACTATATCGATTTAGATAAATTCTGCACCGCAGCGTTACTAAATTTTAATTGATAATTTATAACAATCAATTTGAGCAATGTGATTGAGACAAATGACATGAATTATTGAATGAAATAGTTCATTTATAACAATTAAATTATTTCGTTTACAATAATAGAAAAAATAATTATATAATATATATATATTTCTTGCTCTCTGAAACAATAAAGAAACGAAAATTCTTACATGTTGCGCGGTTATTCAATAAAATTAGTTGATAGGTAAATTATTGATAAAAAATCGAATTTTCAACAAGGGATATCTCCTAGTTCTCGAGATATTCTCGCAAACGATTTTTCGAAAACGCTATGTATCAAGAGAACGTGAAAATTCAGAAGGTGATACAGTTGGCCAGAAGTCTGTCGTGTATCTTTTCGAGACTCGTGCTTTCCTGACAAAAAAATCCGAATTTTCAGCGAGAAATAGCGAGACCTTCTGGGTCTCGAAATATTTTCGCTCAAAAATTTTGAAAATTTTCCCAATGTATCAGAAGATCCGCTCGACGGGTGACTTTATCGTGCCACCTCCTTGAGACTCATGTTCTCCTAATACAAAATTCGAATTCTCAGCGAGAAATATCTTCTGTGAATGTAAATAAAATATCACTGTGTTACAATTATGAATTATACATCAAATAATATGAGCTGTAATTGTGATTATATTTTTATATTCAATATAATAAAATAACTAATACTGACAAATTTTTAAAAATGTCCTGCTTCTCTACATTATCCTATTAAAAATCTCATTATTAATATAAAATTAGAATTAACCATACACCGTCTGGATCACCCCTAAGATAGGTGCGGAAACTAATTTATATTGTCTTTATTGCACGCTGTTGCTCTCTTTGTCTAGCGCGCCTGTATGTCTGTCCTTGTCGCACGCTATTGCTCTCCTTGTCTAGCGTCATTAGACAAGGAAGGCACTAGCGTGCGACAAGGATAGACTTATAGACGTGGTAGACAAGGAGAGCAACAGCGTGCGACAAGGACAGGCATACAGACGCGCTAGACAAGGAGAGCAACAGTGTGCGACAAGGACAGACATATTTGCGCGGTAGACAAGGAGAGCGATAGCGTGGGACAAGGACAGAGATATTTGCGCGGTAGACAAGGTGATTATTGAGTTATTACAGTTGAATTCCGTAATATATTTAATTTTATACGAAATATAAAAATAATAATATATCAAATTTTACAATTTTACAATTTGTTTTGCTTTGAGGATTACGAGAGGAATGATTGTAATTATAGAAGATGAGAAACTAATTTTTTTTATAGAAAGAATCATTTATGACGATTCATTTGATTGCTATTTTATGTCTAAATGAGTTCAAATATGTTTCATTGCGTTTGTAGTATTAAAATCTCAGGTTTAAACGTCCACTATATATGTAAAAAATCAGAATTTTGATATTTGTAATACAAATAAATATTGTGAATTTGTAATTAAATAGACAAATGTTATAAGGTGTTGATTAATTCTAAATTGATTCTACCACGTTCGACATCTACTGAAAGTACTTTCACCTCTACACACTGACCTACAGAAACTGATGAATCTTTTAACCATTTTGTTAATATAAGTCCAGTTTTACCCGTTCCTATGTCCACAAACGCTCCAAAGTGGGTGATATTTCTTATCACGCCCGTTAGTGACATCCCCGCACTTAAGTCATTAATACTGAGCATACTCTTTCGAAAAAGTGGAGCACGAGACTCTAACCGTATATCCTCGTTTTTCTTCATAGATAAACCTTTAATTATCACCTCCATGGTCGCCTCGTTTGTGCCAAACTTTTGGGCTAAGCTAGCGAATCCTTCCGCAGCGCACGATTTTACTTTCTGAATGAATTCTGTAGTTCCGAGATTTTCCAAGTTACAATTACAATGCTTTAAAAAACTTTCGGCTATTTTGTACGATTCAGGATGAATCCAAGTTTGATCCAATAAATTGTACGTTTGTTTAGACTTCTTAGCTGATTTACGTTTCTCGGTATTATCATTCATTAAAGTCTCTGGCAATATCCGAATGAAACCAGCACATTGTTCAAACACCTTGTTTCCAATTCCCTTCACATCCAACAGTTGCTGTCTATTTTTAAACGGTCCGAATTCAGCTCTCCATTCTATAATATTATTTGCTCTGGATACGTTTAGGCCAGCAATCCTTTTCAAAAGGCACTGAGACGCAGTGTTCACATCTACACCTACAAAGCTCACAACCTCTGACACAACCTGCAATCATTTTTATAATTTTCATCGAATTAATTTACCAATTAGTAATATTATCTATCTTAGATCCATCCAGTTTTGTGCTCACCTCATTTAATGCTGTTGACAACTGTTTCTCTGGCAGATCATGCTGATACATTCCCACACCTAAATGTTTAGGTTCTATTTTTACTAATTCAGCAAGTGGATCTTGTAGACGCCTTGCTATTGAAATGGCAGAGATTACGTTCACGTCGAGATCCTGGAATTCGGATTTTGCTTCCGAGCTACAACTGTAAATCGATGCTCCAGCTTCGTTGACAATCGTGTACGAAACTTCGATCGGGCCAAATGTATTGGTCTTGATTAACTCGTTTAAAAACATTTCAGTCTCTCTGCAAGCTGTAGCATTACCTAATGCCAAAATCGTGATCTTGTACTTGGTTACCAAATTTACTAAAATATCGGCAGATTCATTATGAAACTTCTGTGAATTTCTATGTGGATAAATCACGCCTGTCTCAAGCACATCTCCTTGCTCGGAAATTACCGCTAATTTGCAACCATACGAAAATCCTGGATCTATGCCGAGTATGATTTTTCCTCGTAGAGGCGGAGTGAGGAGCAACTGTTTTACGTTAGTTATAAAAACTTCAATCGATGCTGTTTCCGCTTTTTGCTTCAGTTCGCTTTTCACTCTACGTATTACCAAGGGTTTGATATACTTCGTATAAGCATAATCGATGCCCTCATTTAATAGTTTAGAATGTAATTTAGACGCTGTAATGGCTGAATTATACAGTTTGTAGCAACATGCTTTAAATGCTTTTGCAAAAAAATTAGGAAATGTCATTTTTACATTGAGAATCTTTTGTGCTTCCCCACGATTGATAGCCAGTATCTGATGAGGTTTGATGTATTTCGTATTTGTATTAAAATTATAGTACATTTCATACTTCCTCTGCAAATCTTTATTTTTACTCTTTGATTTACTATTGGATTTACTATTGGCTTTACATTCTGTAGTCTGGATATTTATAGAACATTGTGATTGAAGCTCTTTGACTTTATCAAATACAATTTTATTCTTATTTATAACATCTGCTACAATGTGTACAATTCCATCTACAATCTGTCGCTCGGTTTTTAATCCATCTTTGTTAGAATCAATGAGAGAAGATAATGAAGGAAGTGCCTGACCCTGTAACACAAGATCACTTACAGGACCTAAACCTAGGTCTTTGGCTCTTTCTGCCAAAGTTCGTTTAGACGCTGGCTTGAAAAGGGAATATACATGTTCTAAGTCATCTAGAGATTTGGCAGATACAATAACGGAATGTACAGCAGGAGACCATTGCCCTAATTTATCAATAGATTTCAATATAGTATTGGCGCGTTGTTTAATCACTTTGGCATGATCAAGACTCTCTTTCAATGCTCTCAGCTTATCTGGATCCATGCCACCAGTAATATTTCTCCTATATCTTGCAATAAATGGAATTGTATTGTCATTATTGAAAAGCTTTGCAACATTTTCTACTATATGTTTCTCAACATTGTTGGTTTCGCTCACATAATCTTCAATTGTCCATTCTTTAAATTCTGCAGAATTTAAAGATATATCCTTTAACATTTGTTTAACATCTTTTGCATCAGAGTTTTGTACTTCTTCCTCTTTTACTCTCTTACTCTTACTCTGTGTCTTCTTCTTTAAATCTACCAAATCATTCGTACCATATGTAGGTTCTGTTTTTATTTCCTTCTTAAGTCGTGTTGCTGTTCGTTTATTCTTTTTGGGCAATGAAAGGGTACTAGCTTTTCTGTCATTGCCATCTTTACTTTCCTTTTTCTTTGGTACTTTGATGGGAATGTAATTTTTATCTTCAGATTCATTCTCAGAATCACTCGAAGAGATAATTATTTCGTTTGTGCTGGATATTTGCCGTATGCTTCTTTTCATTATATAATTTGCCACACGTATTTGTTATTAATATTTATATTTTAACTCCTTAAGAAAATGAACATGAAATTCTAACCAAAAACTAAAAAATGTAAGGTTAATTGTTAAACGTGCAAAATATATTTATTTTCATTCATATTGTATAATCGTGGTTTTACATTTATATTATTTAACTGTATTTCATACAATAATAAAACTATAATAAATTATTGCGATTCTATTAAATAAATAATCATCAAGATTAATTGTATTTTCCGAACATCTTTCAACTAACCTCCGAAAACGTGCTTTAACAGGTCTTAAGCTAAGATTCTTCACAAGGTTGTGTAACCGAAAATTCTTCGATATTTTAGTTACAAAAACTACAAATAACATTATGAAATGATAAAAAATAATTTTTGTAATTTTTCAAATATTAAATTTCATACACAGATGTAATATAAAATTTCTTCGTATACATATTTTTAGTTATTTCATCCATAAATTAACTAGCAACTTTGTATTTGTAAAAACTTGATAATTATTTTTTTTTTTTAAAGCACTTCTTCTATTAATGACTTTTTTCAAAGATTACATGCAATTCGCATTTTTGTAATGTAAAAACATACGAATGAATACGAGCATAATGATAACTAACAATGCTGAGGTAAAGTTGTTAATTTCGATATTGTAAATTTTTATACAACTCAAAGATATGAACAATATACAATGGCAGAGAAATTTCGATCGTTAATTAAAGTATTAAGTAACGAGGTAAATAAACATCAATTGTTCAATGATGCAACTGCAAGAATTAGTAGCATCACTGGAAAAGCACAGGAAAAATTAAACAATATACAAAGTGCTGTGACCTCAAAGTATGATGTTCTTGCAAAGGTATTTAGGTGTTAGAAGTTACAATCCATACATGTTTCACTGTAAGTCACTTAAATTTATTTATTTCAGCAAATCAACAATGACTTAACATTAATTCAAAATGTGAATGCATCACAATTGACACCAAGTCCATTACCAAAGAAAGTCGTTATATGGTGGCAATGGTATCAACAATTAACAGGTTTAGACAAAGTTGAAATAGCTAGGCAACAAGTGATTTTTGCACAAGACAAGCTGTTCAAATGTCAGGATGAGAGAAGACAGTTGAATCGCGAAGCAATCATAATTAACGATAAGCTGAAGGAAATATACTCAGAGCTTATCCGAATTAAAAGAGATGATCCAAAGTATGTTCAACTGACAATAGTAGAAAATAAAAGTCTCCAAGATCAGACAAGAATCGTGTCGCAGCTTAATTTGTTAGAGAAGGAGGAAAAGGATCACTTCACGTTGTTAGCAACTGCTATTAAGGAGTATCACGATAGTCAAACAACAAGTGCTCAGAATTATAAATATTTATCTATTATAGCATCTGCTGTATTAGCTATTATATCACTGACAGGGTCAATAATATATAACAATAGACGAGTAGCTAATATACAAAATGTTTTATCCGAAGCGCAACAAAAGAATGAAAATGTGCTCAGAAGTAATTTGCTATCATTAGAAAATAGTTTGAATTCAATTCGTAAGGTAATAGAAAAGAATGACGAACCAAAAGTAGTTTTAGTGAATAAAGAATTAACAGAATTGCAAACGGCTTGTGTTATATTTGGAGCATGTGTTGCTGGCATATACATATTGAGGTCAATAATTGGTTGAAGATCACCATGCAATTCGTAATAATGAATGACTAAAAAATTAATAATATCATTTTATTTGGAATCATCTTTTAGTAACAGGCATTTAATTATTTGTAAATGTTTTATAAATAAATGTACAATACATGTATATATTTTATTAGACAATGAAATAAAGAATGCATTGATACATGTATCTAACTGGAGATGTGTTTGTCATTGTATAATTTAGCTGAATTATATCTTATAATAAGAAACACAGAGATTATAATATCTTCAGAAAAATACACACATATATTTGACAAACTGGACAAATACAATTGTTTTACTAATTTTATTTTTAATAAATCATCAATGATCTGTTAATAATTTTCATAAATAACTTTATTAAAGATAAAGTGAAATTATTACTTGTCAAACATAGTAAGCGATGTAAATTTCAATTGTCGAAACTGTTCTATACGCTCCAGGGTTTCCATTCCATACCATCTGGTAGTTTTACCTCAACTTTACCTTTGCTCACTTCTGACCAATTCGTGCTCAACACTGTACCACCGGATTCTTGCTATTTTCAGAAACATTATCAATATTAAAACCAATACAATATACTTTTGTTATGTATTTTTTTTTTAGAAATATTTACAAAAGATTTGTTCATTGCACGCCTGACTTCGTCGGAACCGCTGCCATATATCTGTTGGAACAAAGCATAGAGTGCAGCTTCTCCCACTGGCTTTTCTTCTGCTTCTTGTTTCTCTATTTCTTTTTCTACTTTATCCCAGTCTCGCGGTTTCTTCCCAGTCCCAGGATTCTTTTGTGGTTGATTTCCAGTTTGTAAAATTTCTTAAAAAATCAAATTTTCCAATATTGCAAACCAAGGAAGTTATCTCTATTTCTACATAGCATCTGGAGCTTTAATTTACCTTGGGGTATAGGTTGCACCACGTTTTGTGCAACGGGATTCCCTTCCAATGTGGCCCATGTAATTCCATCTTGTTTTTTCAATTTAATTTCTATTTTAGACGGATCAACTTTATGAGTAGACTGATCTGGCACTATTGCGTGAGCTAAATCTAACTCCAAGCTATATTCATTGCCCGATGGTAACTGAGCAGACACACTTAACTAAAAGTAAACAGAGGATAAAACTCTACAATTAACATCAGCCAAACGATACAGCTGTTTTCATGTAAATACATGAAATGTCATGATTGATTAAAATATTGCAAGATATATATAGTGATTTAAAAACAGAAAAAAAAAAAAGAAAAATTACGAATAATTTTTGTACGATTGAAAATCGGATATTTACCGTATTTTTTTCGTAAACGACTTTGACATTTTGCGCACTTTTCGCAAGGATCGGGACTATGACATGATTCTCCGTTTGATACCAATCGTGTCTTATTTTTGGAACTGGCATCTACAAAAGTTAATAATTTTTACATTACGCATAAAGTAATGGGTGCGTTGCCGTTTGTGTAATTCGACTGCGTTTCTTACCTCATTGTTATTCACCGCGATTGGAGTTTCTTCGTTACCCATTAGATTGACTATTGTCTCTTAAACATCAAACGAAAATCATCGGAAGACTTGACACAACATGCGTCATGTATAGCGTACTTCTCGAAAGTTCATACAGACAATACGAGATAAAATCGTAGCAAGAAAGTCGCCTATATCGTATAGAGAGCAAACTATAAGGTGTACATGCAAACTACTTTATCGGTTCAAAAAAATTGACGGAACATATCTAGTAATATTAATTACATTTTGATATTAAATTAATATTAAATATTATATTAATATTAAATTTTTTATGTTATTAAATTACAATACAACACTACAATTACAATATTAAAATATAATATTTTAATAATATTAAAAATTTAAATAATATCCTAACATCAATTGAAGAGAGCGAGTATTTTACTAATTATTTGATAATAAAAATTTATTAAATATGAAAATAATTTAATTAATATAATAATATATTTCTCGTAAGTTCTGAAATTGTTCAATATTTATACGTCAATATTTTTTTTGTTATTTTCTGAAACAAATTTATATTCTTCTACGAACTTGGAAATTCAATCAAATGTTTTGATTTCCGGTAAGATACACAAGAGGCAGAACTTCTGGAGGGGCTTCAGTGTCGTGCGAGTGTTTCAAAATTCAGATGTACACAAATCTGGATATATTGGAAATATAAAAGCAAAAGTTAAATAACAATCGAGGATGAAAATGATAAAGGGGATTATCGAAGATGTGATTGTGGAGCCATCCAAAGTTCAACCAATTATCGGTAATTATACTTTCGTCTCTTTGTTCCAAGATATTCTTTCACCTGAGAAAACTCGTGCTTAAATGTTCTCTGAAAAGTAATTGAACCGTGAAATTATACTCTTATATAATTCACATACTTGTTATAATTACAATTGCTATTTGTTTTAAAGTGAAAAAGCTTGTAGAGCTTATTGATTTCTAATTTATATATCATACTCATTTTTAGATGTATATGTAATATGTATCTCACATGTAATTCTTTTGTAGTTAATTTTCAAAACGGTGAGTTAAAAGATGATGAGGCTAAAAACATGTCCTGCGGACTATTCTATGATCAAAACAAGAAGAAGACAGTGCTGGCTTTATCGAATGGAGAGATTGTTTATAGAGGTTATAAACCAGACACTAGCGAAGACCCTATGTGTACTATGCTTGTTCTTCATAATAAAAGAACAGGAAAAGTGAGATTGGTTCAGATTGAACGTTGGCAAGTAGCGCCGGTTTTAGAAAAGTCAGCAATAAAAGACATTAACAGTACAGTAGATGATAAGGTTGTTACATTGAACAAAGAGTTTGGTTCAAAGAAGATAAAAAGAAGGATAGAGCAATATGAAAAGCTAAAGGTAAATGTAGAGTCTGTTAAAGAGCATCTTGAACAAACTGTATCTAGTAAGTATTTACTTTTATAAATAGCCTATAATGAAATACATGTGATTTTATATTAATTTTTGTCTAGAAAAAACAGAGTTGAAGTTTATTCATATTGCAGATGTTGAATTCGATAGGATGGAATTGTCAGCACAATTGCCAGATGATGGATGTAATCTTACTTTGCCATACTGTAAGAGAGATGCAACTGATGTAAATGATGTGTATAATATGTATGATATTGTACCAAAAAGTAAATTGGAAACTTTATATGACAATGCAGCAGAAATTTTAAATGACAGTTCAAGTAGAGAAGCGTATGTTTCAAAAAGTTACTATTTCTTCGTTATTTTTATTGGATACTGATTATACATTTATTGCTTTTTTTAGAAATTCAAAATTCTTTACCCAAATATTAAGGAATTTAAAATCTGATCCAAACAGTATTGACAAAACTGCATTGTTAATTTATATTCAAGCAGTTGCAACATGGTTAAGCATGCCGATTAAGGATGCTAAAAAACGTGGTATTGGAGTTTGTTTAGCTTCTCAAGAAATTAATTCATATATAATAGACACGTACAGTGTTCAAAGTAATCATGGAAGGTATATATAAGAAATATATAGTAATATAATAAATGATGCATAATAAAAATGTAAAAACTAATTTTTAATACTTTATAGGACAAGACCAACCACTATAAAAGATAAAGGAGTGATACATTGTATGATTTTAGCACTAATGATTTGTAACTTTACATTAGACTTGGAATTATTTGCGACATTATTTACTCATCGGACAGGTTTAAAAAAATTAACAGATCTTGCTAGATTTATTGGTGCTTTACCTAACAAAGAAGACAAGAAACTTATCACTTTGAAAGTTCCATTACCAAAACCAATGTTTCTTCTAAAAAAGAGAAGAAGCAAATCGTAACAAGATGGGTACAAATTTTCTGTAAAATTGTTTCATAAATAAATTATATTTAATATCTGTAAATTTTGTATAAACTGAAAATAGATTTATAATATGTTTGAATAAATATTCTTTTCTTATAGTTTGGCAATCCTTAGTACTTTAGTGGTTCAATCTCTCCGTGTTAGAATCCTCTCACTTTTCCAAAATATTTCCGTAACCTCTCCAGAAAGATACGAATTTCAATGGTCGATGAAAATTATGAAAATTCAAAAGAAGAAAACAAGTCAATAACTTCGGCGATCAAAAAAAAGGGGAAAGTTAATAAATTAGAAAATGAAGGTAAAGAGAGAACTAGAACTACATTTAGATAATGAGCAGGCATTTTAAAGGAGAAAGAGGTGGAAAAGGTATTTAAATTGATGATTAAACTATTTTAACATGATCCTAGAACATCTAGCTTGTTTTAACGGAGGGTAAGGTCGAAGAAACTGGCACGTTGGCCGGCCCTGAGCAACTCCCCGTAATGTGGGTCGTCGTCTAACTGTTCCACGTACCGTTCCGTCGACTGTGCTGTCCATTAGTCAGATTCACGATTACTCCTTCTCTTTCTTACCTCCACCATCTGATAGCCGTAAACACATGATGGAGCATCTCATCTCTTCTCTTCCTTTCTTATTCTATCGACACCTATCTTTCTATAATCAATACTGAGAAAACCTTAGAAAGTTTGTCCTTAGAAAGTTCTCCTGAGTGTATTTTTTGATAAGAAGAATTGGACTTTTTTGTTTGATATGTAGATACGTTGATATATTTTTCATCAATGATCATAATGAGTCTTTGATTAATTTTAGGAAAGCTCAGAAACGGCGATATGTTATTAAAATTTCACAAAGTTAATGGACAAATATCAAAATAAAGAAGCAGGATTGACATTTATACATAAAAATTAAAGAACAGCTGTCTCAAAAAATGTACGACATTTAACCATGTAAAAAGTGTAAGAAAATTTATATTTTTTACTAATTACAAGTCCTAGTGATTTTAATTTTTATTGATATCTGGCAGGACAGGATTTTTCGTAAAATTTAGACATCAAGAGTTCATTATGAAATTTTCGAATATCGAAATCATTAAAATTCAGTGAACCATTGTACTTTCATTCCGACAGGAGAATCTCTTCCGGGACAGTCTTTTTCTTCCTTCTCTGAACTTTCGTCTTACTCCTCTACGTTCCTCTACATTTCGTCTACGTTCCTTTGAAGTTCCACCTCTTCGTCACGCTGCTACCACTTGTGTCGTCTTCCTGCTATCACCTGGCTGTCGAGGCTACTTCAGTCGACGTGTGACCCTCTACCAGGGCTGTAAGTTTTCATGGTTTCGTTGCACATTCTATTCACCTTCGTCGTATTCGCGATCCCTGATAGCTTTTCTCGTGATCAAAAGAACCAAGAGTGACAAACCTAAGCGTAATTAGAGTTGGAGTACATGGAGCTTTAAAGTGGAAAGTCTGAAGGTCATTCTGCGACCACTGGAGAACATTTACATTCATCTCATCACTGGATACAGGTAGTTTTTTTCTGCAGTGTATTATAGTGAAATAGATTAGACAGAAACTATGCCTTTTATATAAAAATTAATTTCTTCTTTCTAAATATGTTTATTTAATTAATTCTTAAGATTTGGGAAATAACATATATTTTTATTTTCACAAATAGAACAAATTAGTAGAAATAATTATACTAATTATAATGAAGAAATCAGATAATAACAAATTACAAAACAGATTACATTAAATAATAATGAAACAAACAAGTTCTTCCGTGAAATATTCTTACACTTTTTGACTAGTATTGTTCGTACTAGAGTATTGATAATCTTGTAATTAATAATAAAATAATTAGAGATTCAAAGAGGATAACATATTGAATAAATATACCAGAAAGTATAAGGACGAATGCATTCTTAATTTGTCATATGTTCCCCATTTGATGAATTTTTAACATTCAAAGAATTAATTAAATTATAACATATAATATTCAAAGAATTAATTAAATTATGCCTGTTAAATGGATGTCGCTAGTATTGGATTAGAATATACGTATATTCCGCAATCGTGATACCGTTATAATTAGGTCGAGTTTATGCTGTATTAAAAGTTTGAAACCGTTCTACGGAGGAACGTAAATGCACGTGATAAGCACCACGTTGAAACGCGTCAAAAAACTCAGCCTGGAACCGGTTACTGCACTGCGTTTGCAAACGATTCAATTAAAAAAACAAAGGAAGCCCAATCGAAAAGTTTTCAGTGTCACCTTCTTTAGTGTAATAATTCCGCTTGTTAATCAAGATATAACTCGAGGAAAAAAGAAATGAAAGATTCTTTAATAATAAGAGGAGAAAAAGTTGATGATAATAAAGGATATCCTCGGTTGTTAAATTATGGTTCCAACGGCTGCAAACGAGATCATACGAGATAAAAAGGAAAACAGAAGTTGAGGATGAACTTTTTATCAAAGATTTTAGCATTTCCCTAACTGAAAATTTATGACAATAATAATTTATTTGTGGGAACTTTGAAGATGAAAAAAAATGCACGTAGCATACAAAAAAAAAAAAAATGTATAAAATAAAAAGAGCATAATATTAGTTATAATATGCAACGGTTGAAAAAAATTGCTCGTTTTTTTAATTTACAAAAATGCGAATTCACATGATTGTATGTATATATATATATATCGCACGATACAGTGTGAACAGACAAGAGAAAAAAGGGTCAACAAGAGAGATACTTCACTGAAATAATTGATCAGAGACCCTTCGACGACCCCAATAAATACAATGAACCATTGACAGAGGCACGATAAAGAAAAAAAAAGGTCGAGGAGGAATGTCAGCGATGAATATTATTACGATTCTCTCCGTTGACCATGGAAAAGCGAATGATTCATGAACCTGATGTAGCCGAATAAACGATTCTCAAGAATAAAACCCCGAAAACAAGTTGCTCGAAGTGGGTCATCCCGATGAACAGTACATGCGTTTCTGTTTCGTGTACCAGTCACCGAGTTAGGAGGTGGTCACGGTCACGAACACGCTAGAGACGAATATTATGGTCACCGAGGGACCTTGGACGATGGTCTTGCAGGCAACAGAAAGTTGCTTCAGGTCGTTGAATGCGTTTTGTCCACCCACGCATTAATAAAGATGACTGTTCGTTCCATATATTCTCTGATTTCTTCCTGTTCCAGTTTGTTCTTTGCAATTAAATCTTGATTGTATTATTTTACTTATTACTACGCAGTGATGCTTCTTAGAGTGTTCGTAAATGTCAATCGTTATCATATAGCTTTTTCACTGAAAAAGAAAGAAGAGAGTTCATGATTCATGATTCAAGAGTAAAAGTATTATATTACATTTGGCTCAATTTGACATATGAACTGTTCAAAAGATGTTAAAAGTCTAACTGTGTTTTCAATCTGTCTAAAGAGACGTTATCTTAATTTTTTCATCACTTGCAATGTTTGCCTGTAAAATTTGAAACGGAAGATTGTCATTGAAACAAGGAGAAGAAGATATGTCACTTCGTCGTTATATACTTGCAATGAAAAAAATAACAGCATGAAAAATAATTGATCGCCATACTATATTTGACGTTGAATCATGCAGGGAAATAGTCAGTCATAGGTGTTCTCCGGAAATGTTTCTGATAGCGCAGCAGATATTCCTCGAGGCACCAGTTCCGTTTCGTCCGTGACAACGAAAGCTTGCACGAAAGTGCGAGTAACAAAATGCTAATGCCAAATACAGCAATCGAGATTGTGGTACAACCTCGACAAAAGCTGCTGGAATGCCACGGGAAGAGCATGAGGAAAAGAGAGAGAGAGAGGAAACCCGTTACGCGTTGGAACGCGATTCCGCTTGATGAAAGATGTAGCAACTTGTCCCTGTTCATCATTCCTATTGTGCTGATGATTGCTCTCTCTCTAGGGAGACCCGTTAATTACGGATCAGAATCCTAAAACGCGTTGTCGACAATGAACGATTCTGATTACGAGATTATTTAGTCATATCTTAATTATACATACTCGGATGTGCTATCTTAAATTTATTTCCCGATTTCACAGCATTGTTTATACTGTACAACAAACTTCTGAGAAAGTGATCACTTTTTCCAAAATCAACTGACAATGATAAAAATGAGAAAAATCTTAGTTTAGTGACTGACATTAAATTTAGAATAAAAAGAAAAAAAGACATTAGTCCTTCCTTTTTCTTTTGAAACTGCGAAAATGATCTGTATATGCACGTATGTAACGGCTGAACGGTCAATTAGTTAATTTGCATTTGTTCGCATTGTTCTTATTCGAAGAAAGCGACGCAGACACTGCTGACGCGTTTACAGTAATTTCAGTGATGGTGTAACGCGACGAATTCAGTGGGCGTATGATAAACTGTGCGTGCATCCCACATGCACGTTTCACTATACCGTGTCCAGATATATTAAATGTAGGACGCTCTTTTTCCGGGTCTTTTATACTGCCATCCATTATACTGACAGTTTAGAAAAATGGCGAAGTTTCATAAATGTGCAAAATATATCACTCACATTCATCTCTTCAATTTCTACGAGAAAATGTAGAACTCTAATTTAGAAACGCTATGTTATCTTGAAAGTCTAATCCTCAAGTCCAAACTTTCCACAGGTTCAGTAACGTTTTCATCAATAATAATTACAGCTAAAACTGCTACAAATAAGTATCACACAGCTGCAATATAAATATATGCATTTAATATATATTAAAAAGTAAATTTTTAATGTATATTGCACCATTATGCCATTTATAATGCATATATACTTCCTATTCATTATTCATCAATAATAATTACAGCTAAAACTGCTACAAACAAGCATTACACAGCTGCAATATATTTTAATATATATTTAATATATATTAAAAACTAAATTTTAAATGTATATTGCACCATCATGCCATTTATAATGCACCCTATTCATTATTCATCAATAATAATTACAGCCAAAACTGCTACAAATAAGCATTATAGGGCTGCAATATAAATATATGTATTAAATATATATTAAAAACTAAATTTTAAATATATATTGCATCATCATCATTCATACTATAAATAGAATATGCATTATAAATGATATTACCTCCATTTGACCAATTTTCATCTATTCCATAACTGAAGTTAATAAAATACATATAAAAGATATTTCTTAGAACCAGAATATTTTATCAGCTTGAAACACTTTCAGATATGCCAAGAACTATGCGGATTAATCCATGGTCGTTAATGGTCACGCTGGCCTGCGTGACGGTCGCGTCGTCGGAATATTTGATGGGAGGCCACATGGACAACAGTCCGCCAAAGTCCTTGCTGGAACAGATGGAATCGTCTCCGAGTTTGGCAAGGACGGCGCAGCTGGGTGACCTTGATCTACATCTAGATGCAGAGGAGAGCACCGCCGCCGTCTTGACGCCTGACAACGAAGAAACGCCACGTTATCATCTTCCTTATCCTTTCGCCTTTAACGGTGGCAGGCCGTTCTCGCTCGAGAAGGATCCAATCACTGGTAAAATCGACTTCGAGAAGGCGCCGCCTGTCAAAGCCCTCAATCTCAGCACTCGTTATCAAGAGCACGTGAACGAGAATGAGAAACACGTGGACCCGCCGAAGGAAAGCAGCCCTTATCTAACAAAAAAGAAGGTGGAGAACAGCAAAGAGATCGACGACGTTAGTCCAAACGAGATCAACCCTTACTCGCCTAATTTTCACGACTTCTTGAATCTTCCAGTTCATTATTCCTCCGACAAGTACGGCAAGGACAAATATCCACTGATATCAAGTTCCTACGCGAATACGAAGGTTCAAAGCGGATCGAACAGCTACAGTACTTACAATCACAAGCCTTATCACGGGGAGACCGTGATGTACTATCCCACCAGAAAACCGTACATGCCTAAGACAACTTCGATTACAACTACGACGACGACGACAACGACGACGACGACGACGACTCCTAGGCCAATGTCATCGACCACGCCTAGCACTACTACCACTTCCACAACTCCCAGACCAACGACAATTCCCACAACGACAACTACTGCAGCTACTGCTACTTCTACTACGACTACGTCTAGCCTCCAACCATCTACTACTGCTTCCACTTCGACCAAGGGGCCTGTTGTGACAACCTGGAAGCCTCCTGTCTCCACTCCGAAACGGTTTGTCGATCATCTGGACGATTACGACGATATTCTCCCGATAGAAAAACTTCAGTCGTCTGTATACGGCAATGGGAATCAAGGGCCGAACAACATAGTGCAGCACAACGTGGATCACCAGACGAAGCCTCCTACAAAGCACGAAGACTACATAGACAGTTACGATGATTACGAAATCGGAGATGGAGAGGACGCGAAGGATTATGTCTCGATGAAAGAGGCGACTAGTGAAACAACGAAGACAAGTACGTTCCCTGGTACAACGTCGGCTATTCCTAACGTAACTACGACTACCGGAACTCCGGAAACTACTCCTGTAACCACCACAAGCACGAGCACGAGCACAAGTACTAGCACGTCGGTTCCTTCGTCATCTACGATGTACTCTTTACCAGTATCTCAAGAGAGTACCTTCCAGAGTAACTCGTTACCGTTCCAAGCTCATTCTCCACGTCCAGTGACGTCTGTATTCTTGGACAACGAGCACAGAGTGCCGTTGGTGTTCGAAAGTGACAACCGAAGACACGGCATTACGGACAACGTTATCATAAATCAGGCATACCGTCCAAACCAGAGGCCAAGCGGATTGGGCGGTGGAATTCTCGTGGAGAGCACCAGTAACATTGTGATACCACCTGATCAAGATACAGTGTCCTTTGTTCTTGGGAACAGGCAGAACGTCGAGGGCGGGTATTATTCCTTGGGAACCGCGATCGGGGAGAATCCCTATGCCGGTTCTACTGGGATCGACGCCTCTTTCCGACCTTTGTACGGCGTCTCGCCGGATAAGGGCAATTACGATCCACAGTCAGACTATCGAGGAACGATCGGCTTGCCTTCGGTATCCATACTGGAGAGTAATCCCAGCTACGCTGCTCAAACGTGGACGCAGCCTAATCCTAATGGGGCTAATCAAAAGTTAGCCAACGAGGTGGAACCTTCTAAAACTCAAAGCTCGTTCGTGAAAGGTACCGTGTTTAGGGAACAACCAGAGGACAAGAAAGTCGACAAAGACGTCAACTACGTGGTGTTCCCTAAGGACGAGCCTAAGCAACCAATCGAAGAGCATATCGTTGTTATAAACGAGGCTGACGGTACGATACATGAAATAATGCCGTCCTCCACGACGTTGAAGCCTGTGAGGGTGGATCTGCCGGTTACGAACGAGGAACACCTGCCGCAGTTATCGGAGAGCTTGACACCGCCGGCTGAACAGCCAAAGCCGCCTCCGCAGTTCTATTATCACTATCATCACGGAGGTACGGTAAGACCGGATCATCCAAGACCTCAAAGACTACCTTTGCCACCTCGTGGGAAGCAGCCACCATCTCCTCCTCTTCCGCCACCCTCGGAACCTATAGGAATAAGAAGACGTCCTTATTCTCCTGACGCCAATCTGCCGAATATTCTACCGCAGTTTCGTCCGAATGCTAAAACGTCTCACGGACATCGTGGATCAGAGGCCATTGGAACGATCCCAGCTGGCCAGGGTTATCCCACCAGAGTGAGACAGCCAGTTCAATCATATCCTCCGACCAGAAGGCCCCTACCTCCGCCTCCGTCTTATCTTCAAAGGCTAAATCCTCCTCCCCCTCCGATTCACGTCGTCAAGCTTGCCGGCGTGGCTTCTACGAAATCCGAGAGCGTAGTGCCTCCACGAGATATAGAATCCACGGTCAAGAGGTTTCGTCTGCCGTCAGTCACGTCCAGGGGGGAGGACGACGTGAAGCTGGCGCAACGTGTCTCCAGCCAGAAGCTGCGGCTGGAGGAAGAGGAACGGTCAGAACGTTACTCGGAGGAGCCGCCTCAGGTGCCGCCGAGGCCTCCCTTGTTCCCAAAACGGAGAACCGCGGATCCGCCGCACGTAGCTACTCTTCAGATGATTCAACAGCATGGAGAATTCGAGGACATCACGGAGCCGAATCTGTCCTCGATGGATGGGAATACGAGCGACGACGAGTCGGATAGGATAGTGACCGAGCAGAGTGCAGATAGAAGAAAATTCGACAGCCACGAGCCAATGGCCGAGCCTCCAGTTTACGTGGTCTATCCGGTAAATACTGCGGTGAATATTCATCCTGACGACTCCAGGGAGAAAGACGAGAGCGTGGTTGTTGGGACGAGAGGGCCGCACAGACCACTCCCTCCAGAGACGTTGTTACAAGATAACGATGATCAAGAGATGAACGAAGAACCAAGACCTGTTCACAACGTGTTCAACGGGCGACCAGTTGTCTCGGACTTCCCGTATCCTTTGGAACGCCCTGATCCTTCCATTCTTGTCAACGGAATGAGAGAAACACCGTTATTGGTGCCCAGCGATCAGCGACAAGAAGATGATCCTACGCAAGAGAATACAGAAGAGAAAAACGAGAAGGATTCCAGCGTAAACGTGATACCGTACCTGCAGGATTTCGTGCCTTTCCCAGCGAGGAAGAACGAGGTCATCTCGGCCACTCTTCATCGTCTGCCAGCGTTGCCATCCTCCACGCCAATCGCTTACGTTTACACTCCGACAGCTCAAGCTTCTCACCGGTTAGACGTGGACGTACGCGACGAGGACATCTCTAAAACTGAGAAGAGCGATCAGAAGCCCGTTCTGTTGCCTTCGCAGCAGCCCTCCAGTTCCTCCAGCTCCGCGCCATCGCCGCAGAATTTCATGGCCCCGTTCGTGGCAAGCATCAGCGCGGAAGCACCTTCCAAGAACGGCTGGAACGTTGTCGTGGTCGAGCCAACCATCAACAGAAAGTCGGACGACGATCCGTCCGAGACCACGTCGAACGCAGATGAGGCTCAGACAGAAAAGGCCGAGTTCGACGCTGAGAATTTCAAACCGCAGCTCTTTGGCGGATTCAAGCCGATTTACGAATTCCCTACGCAGAACGAGCACCAGAGGCCAGAGCGTAGGGAATCCAACGACTCCGAAACAGAAATGAGCACGCACCTTCAGATGTCTGCCAATTCGACGGTTTGATGAAAGTACACGTCTATTACACGTTAATTGACGAACATTGATTGAACGAAGATAGGCTTGGTTTCGAGTATCTCGTTAGTTATTAGCACACTCCATTTGGCATTGCCATCTTTCTCCAGAACGAGAGATTCTTGTTCTTTGCAAATAATTCATAGTTGAGAGTGCACTGAAGCAATGCCGATTGGAACGTTTGCTTCGAAAAGGGAACTAAATATTTCGAGACTGTAATAACATTATACTGAATATTTTCGAGCATCGGTGTCTGGGACGATTAATTCATTGTCTCCTTCGTGGGGAGTTAAACTATTCATATGATCTTTAATTCTCTAATTATAATTTTGGATCATTGAATTGGTGAAAAGGGTTGGATGCAATGGGGTGCAAGCGATAGACATGGGCCAATTTTGCTTCGTGTGATATGCAAGACGATTGGAAACCATTTTGTGGCAGAGAAACAAAATTTTCTTAGACGTATTTGCACCGCTTTGCATGTAATCCTATTGAACATGACTGCAAAGAATCATCTAAAACATTTATTATATATTAAGAAATATTTATATATAATTTATCTACTTTATTGCTAGACTATATAGTATTTTATAAAATTCTATTGTGCGTTAAATTGTAGAAACTATCATACTCTGTACATCTATTTCATGTGTTATACATTTTTATATACTAACCAGTCTAAAAAATGCATACTACATTATTTATTTTCTACTTTTTTTCATTGATGATCATAGTTATATACTAAGCAATTATTACAATAAATTATTCATTGTATACTCGGTTTATTTATACTAATGCCCGCTTGAATGTCTCGTTGTTTGTACATGTTCAATCCAAAAAATGCTTTTTTTGTCATATACTATCAACAATAATAACAATAATACTGTAGTTTCACATGAATATACATTATTAATTCCTAAGGAAGACTAACAATCGATATGATCCGATGAACTTTATACAACGTGAAAAAAAGAAGTACTTTCTTTCTTGTAAATTAATACCATGCAATTAAAAAAAAATGCAATGCGTATTACAAACTTTTTAAAAATACAATAAAATAAATATATAATAAAATATTGATTGTTTTGTACCCTTAATTACCAACAGGCTATCAACTCTTAAACATTAAGGTAAAAAATTGTTTTTTTGCATGTAATGATATGGAAGATCCTGGCAGTAACAATTGTAACTTTACGCTATAATCATTTACTTATGAATACGAGCAATGCAATGCAATGCTTTTACCGATTACCAAAGAGTCGTAAATCCAACTTCAACACAACAATACCTTTCTCGACTTCATGTAACCGAATACGTTTCTGTACCGGTCCACACGAATCCCTACTATCTCTCATTATATCAGCAACTCTTATTTCTGCTCGTCCAAGAAATTCTGTAATGATTTTTAAGTATTATATTGTTAAAATTCTTCTAATTATGTTTATACATCAGAAATATACAGTTAATTTTACCATCTGGACTATAATAGCCTTTATCAAAGACCGTGATACATAACGTATCCTCAAGTAAATCCTTTACTTGGAACTGCATAGACGTATCCCATAAAGGACAATCAGTTCCTGATATAACGCCCGTCCTCTCTTCTTGTGAACCCATGCTCACTTTACAGAATGTATTGCACTTTCCTATAAAATTAAATTTCTTATTATGATTAAAATTAAATTTCTTATAATCGTTGTAAAAAAAACATACTTTTACGTAGAATAGTTTACAGTACTGTTAATAAAGCATAAATCGCAGTTGCATAGATTTCAAAGCGGAGATGTGAATAGATAATACATGTTTATCGAGTTTAATGTAACTAAATACTAATATAATTTACTGTTACAAAAAATAATGTTCCATGCTTAACTATAATCAAATCGCATGCGCAATGTGACTGAGAAATAACAAATGAAGAAGATAATTATGAAAAATTAAGTAGAAAAGAAAAATTAAACAAAACAGCCAAAAAGTAAAATGTATAATTCGTTTGTTATTATTATTTTTCTCGCAGTTACTTATAAGTCCACGTACCAAATCTCAAAGTAGAGATTTCATGCAAGCAGAAAAAATTTTACCTTTTTTCAACATAACTAAATCTTCAGCTTCCACAACTACTAATCGAAGTATACCCTGGGGCGGTCTTCTGCGAACTACAATCATGCCAGATTTCTGTTAGTAAAATCGCGTCATATTATTAAAAAGCGTAATTGTGATACAAATGATCCTCAATGGTTTTTTGTAGAGAAGTTTGTCCCGTTTCCTTTTATTGTATACTTTCGTAGAAAAAACACCAAACAACCAAAGCACAAAGCGCATGCATATATATATATATATATAAAAAAAAAAATTTAAGCATTCACGGATTTTGCTTACCAGGTATTGTCTTTAAATTGAAACCTTCAAGCACTGTAACAAGAATTCTGCCGCATGCTCCAAATTGCGCCTGCTCTGTTCACTCACACATATTATGCGTTATTATACATTAAATTTATTACAAATATTTCTTATACGTTGCATTGTATTTGTAACATTTATTGTTGCAGCAACGATACAAGAACAAACAAGGACTATACTTTACAATAATAATGAACAATGATGAAAGTATGACTCACTTGATCTCTGTCTTTGCAAGCGTGTTTTTTCGTTCTCCATAAATTTCTTTCTTGCTTCTGTAATTCTTCTAACCCATAGTGAACATTCACTTGGAGATGGAGCCAACAATATTATCGGTTTCTTTTGGTCTTTCAGTCTCAGTATTTTAGTTGAATTTTCTGAACCTTCGCTGAAACCTAAACTAACATTACCGTTCGTTTCTGAATCACCCAAAAAAGATAACTCGTTTAAAAATATTGGCTGCAAAGAAGAAATATTTCAATTAGTATTATCATATTATTGTTACAGTAATTAATCATGAGATACCTTTCTATACATCTTAAATTTTTGATGCTCGTTTCTCTCAAACGAAAACTGTTGTCCACTGGATGAAAACTTTTTGCCAAGTACTGGTTGAGCAAACAGTAAAAAATCGTTTGTGAGAAATCCAACAAGTTCCTTTCCACTTTTTGCCTAAGAGATATTAAAATTACTATTACACAAAGGTAACATAATCTTTTAGATTTCGTTTACCTTATGAAGTATACCAAAATGAAGAAGTTTTCGTGGACCTAAAGAATTTGTTAAAGAATTAAAGATAAGTTGTTCTTCAAGACCATCACAAGCCACATGTGTTTGCAGCCATTCTAATCTATCACTATTTTCTTTCTCTCTAACTCCTTCATTTACCTACCATGAAATAAAATTAATATTAAGTACTAATTTTCCTTTTTTTTTTTAAATTGAATGGTTGTTGTTTTCAAAATCTCACCTGAGTACAAAATTCTTCTGCTTTAGCTAATGCCTCTTGAAGATATTGCCTATCAGGATGATCAATTGGGGTATGCTCTAAAATCTAAAACAATTATGATAAATTAATATAAAAATATTTATATCTTTTTTTAAATGAAGAATACTAAAAATGACAGATACTTTGCCAATAATAAGAGGGTACTTTGTTATTCTTTGCATTGGTTTTATAAGGAAAGAACTCAAAGGCATTCCTTTTGTACGTGGATCTTGTTGACAAACTTGAGCAACTTTGACAAATTCTGGCATAGTTTCAGTTAATCTCTGAAGATAAACGGCAGCTGATATCTGACAACTGCAAAATCTTATATAGGCTGACATTCTGGGTATCTAATGGGTAATAAATATATGAATATGTGACTACGATATAAAATTAATTACAAATAAAAAAGATTTACATTTTCACATAAAATATCTCCGATCATTCTTACAATCCCTCCTTCGCTATTATCTCGTCGTATACGTAATGTTCTGAAAAATGTTTGTTAAATGAATAACTATAGTTGACATTACAGATATTTTCAAAAATATAAAACGATACCTTAAAAAATTATCATTACAAGCAATAATATCTCTCCAATTAACAAATATTTTATCTACTTCGTCTACAGTTAAAACTAAACTTTCAATGAGAGGTTTCTCAAACACCTGTAAAGAAATTTTATCTTTCAATATATGAACGTAAAAAAATTCGTTTAGAAGATTTAAAAATACCTCGTGAACGAGTCTCATATCTTCTATGTATGCCTGTTCAGTTGTGATAAGTTCTTTGATGTATTCTTGCCGTTTCCTTTCTATAGAATCCAATCCAGCCATTAGTAAGTTAGTTGTCATCTCATTAGCTACACATAAAATGTATGTAAAGACATCATTTCAATCTTTTTTCATTTTTCTAAAAATAATGTAACTCTAACTAATTTCAGATCATCTTGCTCCGAATAACAAACTACGTAGTTTTTAGTAAAATTATTACATAAAACTTTGTAAGAATTAAATGTTTGTGAAACAGAACTCAAAAATCGTAAGATAATATTTTAAGTATTACTGTTAGTCGCTGGGTTTCATTGAGTAATAGAAAATTGTTGGTACACAACAATACTTTACAACAGACAGATACTTTATTTCAATCAGCAGTTTTGCGAACACGTCTGTATATTATGTATGGATATGTGTACATATGTATAAGAACGGCGTGTATATGCATGTGAGAAATTTCGAATATATCCACATGAAATGTGAACAAAAAACTGTAATAAATACAGAATGATTTGAACTTGTTCACACTCATACAGTGCCCATCATACTGGAAGTATACCACACACAATTTGAGATTCATAATGAGATTCGACGATACAACAAACAATATGGATATTTTGCAAATAGTAACAACCTTAAGGATATAGCACTACACAAGTATTTTTCTCATCTAAGAATAACCAGTTGCATAACTTGCTTTACACATTGTCAACATGTTTAGATAAAGATTACAGGATTATTAGCGCATCTAGAATACTTAATGTTAAGCACACAATGTTTAGTTCCACGATCAGGCATATTTATACACTTTTTTTTTTTGCAAAGAGTTATATAGAACGTGTAAAAGGATTAATTGGTGTATAAATATGCTGATCTACTGTGCGCTTCTGAGATATTCGAAACTAGTTATTCCATCAAATTCCTGAATAATGGAATGAATATTAAACGTAATGTAATACATGACTTTTTCTAATAAATATCTCATATTATTTCATAAAATTTACATTTATATCTAAAATTTTAGACACTAAAAAGTAAAGTATACCAGTATATTTTACAATTTATTCAGTAAAAAATAGTTTCAATAGAAAATAGTAAGTTATTTCAAATAAATTTTAATAATAAGACGATATTTAAGTATCTCAACACCGAGATTCGTAAGCTTAAAAGCAATAAATATAAATAAAGAATCAGCAGTTTTAAATTAAACAATATATTTGTATAACATTTATATATCCTATTCTTAAGTCATATAAATTATTATCCTCAGGGATAAATTGATGGAAAAACTGGTTTGCGATGATATAACGTAATAAATCATTCCCACCAGTGGCAATAATATCTACCTAACTTTATGATTGTTATTAGTGATATTTTAATGATGATTTAGGCTCTATAATAAAAGGCTGCGAAGAAGGAGCACATCATCTTCCATTATTTTATCAGACAAGTCAGAGAAAAAAAACAAATAAAAGCTATACATATGTAAAATAAATAAATAGGAACAACAAATCTCGTAAAACTTATTGAATTCAAAAGAGAGCATATTTTCATTCTTTCTGTAAATATTATGTGTAATAATATTATATCTCTTTTTGATTACTTATATATAGAATTTTGAATTTAAACAGAAGTTATAGACTGTGTAATTGTTTAAAAATTTTAAGAATACACATATATCTTCTATATATTGTAACAAACTCTTCACCGAAGTAAAAAGTTAAACGAAATATTCAACATTATGATTTAACAACTCCTTCTCCCTTTACATTAAAGGCAAGCAGAAAAATAATATTCAGTTGCCCGTATTTTTGCTCTAGGCCTCGGCGCAATATAACTATACAAACCATCTGTATTGCACACCAAATAATG